CTGGGAGCGAAGCAGAAGACGAAGGCGACGAAAGATGGGACGAAGAAAGTTAACAGAAATATCTGTAACATTGAATGCGAAGCATTTCTTAGCGAACTTCGGTGACTTTGAGCGTATCTATCTATCTATCTATCTATCTATCTATCTATCTATCTATCTATCTATCTATCTATCTATCTATCTATCTGCTTACTTTTGGGTGCTCTCGTGGTCACCCCCTTAACTTTGCGTGAACTAAATTAGCCTAGGAGGGTAAGATGGTTTGATGAACATGACACGCTGGTCAAGACATGAATAATCTCACAATTCAGTCGCGTACGTCGTCAAACACTTTTCGTGAGACAGTGGCACATATCTACAGGCGGGTATGTGCTGCTGGTATGCGCGTATGTGGGCCAAGTGATTGACACTTGGTATCTACCCAGGAGCGACGAGAACACACATGGGCAACATTATCGCGCGAGCGTTAAGAAATACCCGACATCTGTAGCGTCGTCCCGACAAATGCAAAGAATAAATGTCAGGGTCCCAGCTGTAATTGAACCCAAGCATACTGCGTGGCAATGAAACATTTTACCACAGAGCTACGCCAGGTCTTGAAACTACTTTTCTAATCTTCGTGAAACGTCAATAGTGGTTGCCGTGCTGCCTACCCAATTTTATAAACATTACATATGTACTCATTTGATATGGTCGTCACGTCGGGTTAACGTCAATTGTGGTTAGTTGTCCTGCGCTGAAGTTGATTTATGTAGCAGTGTCCAGCGCTAGCATTCGCGAGCATCAGCGCTTCATATCAGCTTCTGGTGTTGCTAATACGCATGTTCCAGTTGGCATCATTGCGCAAGCGCAAACAACTGGTTATATAAACATCTACAACTCTTCAACATATGTCTGTGCGTGCAACATTCGTACATATATTAAAAGCGTCATTTGATGACGTGTCGCTCAATAAAAAAAAACTGCAACACGGTCACCTTCCCTCCGAATGCTTCGCATATAACGTCGATTCCCAGGTACGTGGGATCTGCCTTTTTTTTTTTTCAATATATAACCTCTATTATTCGAAAACTGTACATTACTTTACAAAACCACTCAATTCCTGGCCAATCCCCCTCAGTCGGTATGCGCCATGGGCAATAGGTGAACAAGAACGAGTGCGTGCAGGTTCGTGATGATTACAATTTTGATTGATATGTGGGGTTTAACGTCCCAAAACCATTATATGATTATGAGAGACGCCGTAGTGGAGGGCCCCGTAAATTTTGACCACCTGGGGTTTTTTAACGTGCACCCAAATCGGAGCACACGGGCCTACAACATTTCCGCCTCCATCGGATATGCAGCCGCCGCAGCCGTGATTCAATCCCGTGACCTGCGGGTCAGCAGCCGAGTACCTTAGCCACTAGAACACCACGGCGGGGCATGATGATTACAATTTTAGCTCTATCACACGGCGAACCTAGCTCTGCTGTAAAATGGCATAAAGTTTGTTCTTACGCAAGCGTAATTGAGGCGAAATTTCCGTCATATTGCCAAGTTGGTGGAATCGTACAATTTTGTGTTTACTTTTATGTCATGCCCGTTTTATTATTATTATTTTCGACGTGAAAAAGGTGGATTAGTCGAGTTAATCAGTTTGCTAAAAAATTGTTGTTCTACGCGTCTTTTGTCAGCGGACGGAATGCGCCAAGCGCCTTTTACAGCTTTGCGGTTCGGGGCGCCGGACCTGGCTACAACCCTCGTCCCCATTACAGCGACACACACTTAATCGCAGGCTACGATTTTAGCAAAAAGATTCCCGTTTCGTATTCCGTTATGAACAAAAAAAAAAGAAATGGCCAGATCCCACGTACTGTGGGAATCGAAGATACGCGAAGCACAAGTCAGGGAGGTTGATATGTTACTTCAAAATGAACACAGCGTTACGATGTGCGCGTAAATTAAGCTCTACATGACTTTCATGTCATGATTGTCGTGTTTGAATGTGTCATTTATTTTCGTCGTCTATTCACGTCACGTGATACCAAGTTTAGTATCACGCGATGTGATATGTGGAGCTAACAAAACGGCCGCGAGCGCACCACGAGCGTAGTGTGTAGTCATGACTAGTCATAACATGAAAATGATGACATGCATGTCATGATTTTCACGTTAGGGTCTGTCACTTACGTTCGCCATGCAGTCATGCCATACCATACCAGTTTTGCAAAATGTCACGTGAACGAAACCACCGCAAGAGCAGCAAGACCCTGATATGTAAATCATGACATTCGTGACAAACATGTAATTATTTTCATTTTATGACTAGTCAGTTATGCTCGTCATACAGTCATGTTTTGCCATACTGATTTTGGTATAGATACCATTATAGGAACGGCCAGGAGAGCTAAAAGTCGTAGATAGATAGATAGATAGATAGATAGATAGATAGATAGATAGATAGATAGATAGATAGATAGATAGATAGATAGATAGATAGATAGATAGATAGATAGATAGATAGATAGATAGATAGATAGATAGATAGATAGATAGATAGATAGATAGATAGATAGATAGATAGATAGATAGATACGGTCAAAGTCGCCGAAGTTCGCGCATTTAAAATATATAGGAGGCTATGGCCAAGTAATAACGCCCTTTGCTGAATTCCGAACGCGCGTTGCAGTGCCTACATAAACGGGGTGGCCAGTGAACGGTTGTGCAGTGCGAGCAGTCGGTTTTTAAAGACTATAGGCCTTTCTTGGGGACCTTCGACGAAAAAATTTTGATCTGGCTGTCTGTACATTTGTCTATTGTCTGCCCTAACGATACCTCAAACGGCACCAAACGGCCAACCCCATCCGCAGCGCCCACCAATATTGCACAAAATTTAGCGTTCATAATTGTGCGATTGTCATTAAAAAAAAGCAAATAATGCGCATACCTGAGGTGCCACAACAACACGCCTATGTCTTGTATGTCTGCCTTTATACTAAAAGAGGCACACACAAGTAGCTCTAAGGACTGTAGCATTTATCGCGCTCCACTGACAGTGCAACGCGATGCTCAAGAAGGCGTTTCCAACGCTATGCTACGACGACATGGTGGTGGCACCTGCCCGCCGCTTTGCATTCTACACCTTATCACCTCCGAGACTGGCGCGCATCTTTCTCCGCGATCGCGCATGCCTTGCCAGATGGCGCTCGTGTCTAACGTGCCTAGATGCGCTTGTTCGCCTCCGCTACACGCTCGAGGCACTCTAACGCAGCGCCTTCAGAATAACATTCACCGATTTCCTTGCGCAGAACATCAAATAAATGTTTTGTTCACTCTCTCTAGACGCAAGAATATCATCCTTCGACGACATTTGCAGTGTAACATGTTGATTCGGGCCATTTTTTTTTTTACCAGGAGACGCTGCTTGCGTCAGCCCTTGAGAGGCGAGGGACGGGGAGGGGAGCGACTGTTTTGCAGGTGTCTTCCTAGGCCGGCGCGAGCATGCGCAGAGGGGGTGCATGGAGAGACAGCGTTATCAAGGCTAACATCTAAAAACTATACGCCTGATTACGACGCCTCCCCATAGCCTCACCATTCACACCCGCGGACACACAACCGCAATGCGATCATGGTTATATTACTTACCGACGCAACCAAGTTGACTAAGTGTCAAATATTGGAACTAAATGCAGATTATGTGAACGAAATTTCCCCATAACATCCGCTTACGTACAGTAGACCAGAGGGCGCGACGAAGCTTTTTGGGTTGAGGTTCCTAGGGACCTTATTTTGGGCCGCCTCAGCATTGTTAGTACCAAGGAGAATTAAAGAAAAATTGCTGGAGTGGAAGCTCCCGCAATGCCTTGCCAGCAGAAGTGAAGCCACCTTCTGCCACTGCCAAGATGGCGGAAACATGTTATTTTCTGATAGTGCCCACTTAAAGATCAAGAGGCTTTGATATTTTATGTAAATGCTACATTACTTCTATATTAAAAGATAGTTGTTCCCGACGAAATAACACGCAGAAACGAGTATGGATAACTGAATCTTCAAAGAACTTTGCCTCCAATTACAGGCTCACTAAGGAAAACTAGTAACTGTGAAACGCACTTGGAGCACTATGTGACCCGAAAAAGTTCTCGCATTAAACTCGTTGGGCGTGTGAGGGAAACGCTTCGTTTTTAATCGCTGAATGGTGATACTTTATCATGCCCCTAGTAAGATGGCCGCCACAACCACCATTTTGCCAGAGAAACGGCTTCACTTCAGCGCAATCATTTCCACTCCAGCAATTTTTAAAATCCTCCTTGGTTAGTACCGACCGCCATGGATAACAAGAAAATGAAACTCTCGCTGAACACATTGAGACGCTGAAGCGTCAATGCCCTTTTTGGCGCGTTTTCAGAGGGCTTCCTGGGCGCTCACATATCAGTGCTCAAAACTAAAAAAAAAAGAAAATAATATGCATGGGCAAATCCGGTTTTTCTGTGTCTACTCGCTAGACTGTGTATTCTGGCGCTACCATCAGATCTCGTAAACTGCATTCCTGGTTGCCTATATGATTAAAATTAAGGTTACCTTGAGACTCTCCTAACACGCATTGAATTTACCGCCAAAAAAAAGCTGACTCCGTGATTTAGGCGCTGCGCAATGTTGCCATTGTTTAAGGCAACACACACAAAAAACAGGGTCAAGTTCGTCACGTACACAAAAACAAGACCTCAAAAAAACGTTTCTGTTTTGTCAAAAAAAGTACTGTTGATAACTGTTTCTGAAATTACAAAAAAAAAAATCTTGAAGATAAATTGTCACAAAAGTGTTTTTTTAAGTGTCGTATTTTTTAGCTTGTTTAAAAACCGCTCCTTTGAAACTACTATATGTATTTTTGTTACTTAATTTTGCCAGTTTAATATTAACGTTTATGTTTTAATTTAGAATATTGTATTGTAAGTTGTTTGTAGAGAGCGCTGCATACATTACAACATTTGAATCACTGCTACTTCTCTACGATGTGCATAACAAGACACATGTCATTAGTCCACCTGCTAAGAATTTCCGTGTAGATGGCCGCTGCGTCGTGTTGTAACTGAATGGGAATTCCACACGAAATGCATCCTAAATGACCCGTAAGACTGATTAGTTTGCTCTAAGATGAAGCCTCTTAACCTTTCGTGCGTAGCCATAAAGTTATCCTGCAAAGGAGTTGAGACGGTGCATTCCATATGTATAACGTAAACAAGTGCCTTGCAAGGACGTCCTCTAAGCGTCTGCACGATGTTTTTCGCGTAAAAATGCGTGCGCATGGCTTTCGCGTTCTGTGTGTTCTCTCTGTTTTACCGTGACTGTAAGCTGTGATCTTGCTTTGCAGATTTATCCGAGCACTCCGTCTACTTCCGCGAAACGCACATCTTCGAGATTGTGCCCGCGTAACCGCACTGCATCATGTCCGGCTCGCTGAGCCGGTCAGTTTCGTTGAGTCCCCTCGAGCCTAGTCCCCCCGGCCAGCCGGCTTCAGGATCGCCGCCAAAACTGACGAGCTTACCGAAGGACACTAGACAACTCGCCGATCTAACTATATCGCCACTGAAGATCTTCGTGTCGGCTAAGAAGCGAATCAACGATGTGTTCGTGGGCATCCAGGGATACGTGGAAGAAAGCCACGCCTTTCTTGCGGGTGAGCCTTATCTTACGATAATCGGAGCTTGTTTCTCTAGCGGTCTTCATGATCTCATGCTTGTGGGACGTAGTTTGTTCTAATTACGTGTGCGCGCTCTGGTTTTGTTATCAGCCTTCATTCATACTAACGCACTGTTTCCCACTCTATATATCTTTTCATTCAGTGAGAGACCTAAAAAGGGAGCATTTTTTAGCTATGTTCGCGCTTGAAGTGCGAACCTAGCTCGAACAATCCTTATTTCGTATTATATAATTTTGACATGTTTCTGTCATTAAATTGCGTATCACGAAGTTTGCCTAACTGTGCTGCTGCAATGTTATAGCAAATAAGCACTCCATTCACATATGCAAAACTCATTTGGAATATGGTGTGGCTGAGTGTATATACCAATGAACACTACCTACTTCAGTGCCATCTTCGTTTGTACTTTTTTCCATTCGGCAATTGGTCTTCATATACAACAGATTATCAGTTACAGGCCAAAGAATAGCGTTGCCTGACCAATTGAATTTTTTTACTCCTCCATCTTTACTAGCACGTCTGTTACTTCACCTCTTCTTGCTCTCTGGTCCTCAGAGCTGTCTTCTTGTCTCTGAACATTGCACCTTGCAACAAGCGTGTTCTCCTACGAACACTTGTGGATACTCTTGACAAAGCGTAAATCAAACATGCTGGTTCAGGCGAAAATCCGGCTAGCACGAACCACACAAACCTCGACGTGTCCTTTCACGCTGGCACAGAGCTGGCACCACTATGCTGCAGTTGAACCAATAATTTTTCATTTACAATCATTGCCTATTGACATTTGACGTTGTCTTACTCTGTAATTCACACATTTATCGGCTTGGTCTATATGGAGTGCATGAGTAGTGTGCAGTCAATAAAACAAAGAAGTCTGTGTCCTAGATCCAATGTATGGAACACCTGTTACAGTATCGCATTGCTCTGTTTGCATAACAACACTACTTTCTAAGAAAAAGTTAACTATTTAAATAGCATTTCTGGCATGAAACAGCAACTGTCGTCCGGCTTGGTTGCATTTCCTTTTCTCAAAAACATGGCTCTTTGTATTTTTCTGTCGGAAATATAATGTCACGTTGACAGTGTGCACACCCTATAAGAAGTGCCAGTACCATGATCATAATGCAAGGCAAGCTTATAAGATGGGTAACAATCATAGTTGTGTTGTGAAATACTTCCCAAATACTCAATTTTTTCTTAGAGTGTAGCAAACATGAAAAGACAGCCATTACACAGTGATGGTCCTCCCCATTCTTTGCAACAGAGAACAAGGGTTATGCACATTTTGAAACATTGTTGATACATTATTATTCACGAATGTCATGTGCCTTTCACTCTGCCTGTATATTTCTAGCTCTCAATTCTGGCATGGAAGCATTCAAGGCGGAAGACTGTTTGGAGGTGGAAAAGTTCAAAGACAAGATCGCTGGCATTCGTGACGTCTTGTCGCGTGATCACATGAAGGTCGTCTTCTTTGGCAGGTACCGTTTTTTCTGACAGCCAAAGGCCTCGCATTACCTTAGTGTTGTGCTCAGTAATTCGCATGTTGTGGCTGTTACAGTCGCATACTGAGCACCTTGGTCTCTTTTCACTATCTTCTTTAGGACCAGCAATGGCAAGAGCACAGTAATCAACTCCATGCTGCAAGATAAAATTTTGCCTAGCGGTTTGGGCCACACCACAAACTGCTTTCTTCAAGTAGAAGGATCGGACAGCTCAGAAGCATATCTGCTGACTGAGGACTCCAGTGAGCGCAAGAATGTGGAGGTGCAGTCTCTGCTTTTGCAACAAACACAATTGTTCGAAGGATGTGTGAGGGAGGAAACTTGTGTCAGCTGTCATTTCTCATCTGTGTTTCTTTTGAGCAGTGTAGCGCTTTGTTTTCCCATTCTTCCCAATTTTGTTTGTTCTTACAGTCCGTGTTGCAATTGGCCAACGCATTAAACTCGGAGTCACTTGGTGAGAGTGCTCTGGTGAGGGTCTTCTGGCCAAAAGACAGGTGCAATCTTCTGCGTGATGACGTAGTTCTGGTCGACAGGTATGCTCCTCTGTATTGTTTGGCTTTGTACACTATTACCAATAGGAACTACAAATATCAGTCAGTCACATTCAGTGAAACTCACTTTTGTGTGACAAAATCTGCAATGTCATGTGACATGCTCACCAGAGCTCTTAATTGGTCAATTAACTCGAGAAATAGGCCGAAAGAAAATAGTTCCCTCATGGCAGCATGTCATTTTCAAACATACTACCTTCTTTGGTCTTGACTAATCATTGTTTGTTAAAAGTAAAATTCTGAATGTTGATAAAGATATATGCGTACTGCCCGACGGCTGTGAATTTGTTCTCCAGAGAGGATAGTAGTACCTGGTACAGCACTTCTTTTTCTGATTCCGGATCATTGATCAAGAAAAATCATAATTTAGCCTGCGTCCTTAAGTGATCACAAGATTACTAGCATTCTTCCCTAAAACTGTTAATGGTTCTTTCCAAAAATTCAGGTACATCCTTCATTACAGGGTGTGTTTGAGATTACCTGTGTTTGTATCTTATAACTCGCCTTTTCATCTTTCTCATGCTGCTTTGAAAGTATTAGTACACCATAAGCAGTGCTTGGAGCAGCCGTGATGCAGCTGATTTTGCCTTGTTGACAAACTGTAAATATAGAAGTTAAAATGGACTGATTTAGTTTTGAATACTATGATTAAACATGCACTAGAGTTCAATAGTCAGTATGAGGCTTCATACTGTATGTGATTATCACAGCCCATTTTCAGGAAGGAAATTTTTTATCCAATTGTGACCTATTTTTCAGCCCTGGCATCGACGTGTCCCCAAATCTTGATTTGTGGATTGATAAGCACTGCCTGGATGCTGATGTATTTGTACTCGTGGCCAACGCCGAGTCTACATTGATGGTCACAGTAAGTCCCTTGGTATTAGCACTGTCTTATAAGTGACTCTTTGTTAAATCTGCCAGGAATATTTTCGTAGTAATGGCAAAAAAGACACTTTGAACATTGGACTTCTTACTTGTTTACAAATTTTCTTCAATAGATGATAATACAGAACAGATTCCATTAAATCTATCTCATTAAAAGATTATGCAGCACTTTCAGTAATATGCTAGCAATTGGAATGTGATGGCGGTTCATGTGGACGTTGCTAACACATTTTGTAATAAAGAAAGGCTAGGAGCGTTAGCTGAAGGTATTCAATAAAAACTTTTTTGCTGACACAAACACGTACCATATTTTCTCGCATATAACCCGCACCAAAAATTGAAAAAAAATCGCCTGAAAGGTGGCGGGTTATCTGCGAATAATTCGGATAGAGAGGTCGGCTTTACAGCAATTCATGGCCTCCCTTGCAGTCCGCATTCCCATCGGCATCGTCTGGTGCAAAGGCAATAAAAGCCAACACAGGCCATAGACAGATCCCCTCCATAGCATGTTTGTTCATTTTTTGCGTGCTTTGTTTAAGTTGGTCAACAGCGTCACAAGAGCCACTTGACAGCGTTTTTCTTCGAGCCAGGTGTGGCAAGTTTGCACCGTTGGTCAGCCTTGTCTGGTGAGGCACCATGAGTGGGTCTCGGTGGCAATCTTTCATCGCGAAAGAAAAACTCAAGATGATAGCTGCTGCGGAAGAAATCGGCCACAGAGCTGCTGCGAGGAGGCACGACGTCGACAAGTCCTGAATGCGCGACTGGCGAAAAAAGAGGCCTCTCTCGAAAGTGCACGCAAAGAGAAGCGCACATTTTGTGGCCCGAAGACTGGTGTGTACCCCCTTCTTTAGACGCGGCTTTTCAAATTTATTGAGGAGTGGAGGAGTCGCGGCCACGCTGTGTCAACGGAAGTGGCGCAAATTCAAGCGCTGAGGTTGGCCCGCGACATGAACATCTCACAAGAGTTTCGTGCGAGCCGTGGATGGCTCCAGCGATTGCCAGGCACGGATTTTTCGATGCGGCGGCGAATGACTATGTGCCAGGGGCTTCACAATGCCTACGAAGATAAGCTTTTGAGCTATCAACGTTATGTCATCGGGCTGCGGAAAGAGCACAACTACTTGCTCTCCCAGGTGGGAATTGCTGATAAAACACCTGTGTACTTCACAATGCCCATGGACACCACTCTGTAGAACAAGGGCTCGAAATCTGTTGGTGTGCTGACGGGCAGAAACACCAAACTACGCTGCACAGTAATGTTGTGCGCTTTGGCGGACGGTACCAAACTGTGCTTGTACGTAATCTTCAAGCGCAATATGCTACCCAGAACTCCACTGCCACCAGGATTGTTGTGTGAACCGAAGATAACGCGTGTATGAATGGTGAGCTCGTCTGTAACTGGCTGCGCAAGATCTGGGAAAAGAGGCCGGGCGCCATATTGGCTTGGCGGTCGATGCTGGTGTTGGACTGGTTTCGAGGCCACTGCACTGACGCAGTGAAAGCGCGCCTCACTGACCTACCGCACCGACCTCGTGATCATACCTGGTGGCATGACTTCCATGCTACAGCCACTCGACGTGTGCCTCAATATGCCATTCAAGGCGCACGTGAAGCGGCTGTATGCAGAGTGGATGGCCGACGACCTTTACGCCCTGACACTGACTGGGCACGTGTGGAGGCCAGACATTGCGCTGCTGTGCCAGTGGATCGTGGATGCGGGGGGGACTATTCCGGCCGACATGGTTCCCAAAGCTTTAAAAAGTGCACCATCAGCAATTGCTTGGATTTCACCGAAGACGATTGCTTTTTCGAGAGCAGCGATGGAGCCTTGGATGGCAGCAGCGACAGCGGCGAGTGCGGCGATGATTGAAGGAACGGGAATCGGCACTGCCAACGTTGCGGCGATCGCTTCAAAATAAAGTTCTTTTGTAAACGAGATTCTGATGTGATGTGCAGTCGTGAATTTCCAAAACAGTTTTTTTGTTAAGCTAAGCGTGCGGTTATACGCGAGGATTTTTTTTTTTTTTCAGAGAGTTAAAGTTAAGGGTGCGGATTATATGCTAGGGTGAGTTCTTTGCGAAAAAATACTGTACCTTTAGATACTTTCATCTTGTGGACTTGCTGCTATAATGGTGAATAATGCTTCTAAGCTTAAAGGTACTACTTGGAGATATTTGATGTTTTGTAATTCTTGGTGCAGCATTTTGAATAATGTTTGCAAGATTTTCTTAGCTCAGTCTGGAAGGTTCGAAATGTTCTTGTAACAGAATGCACGCAATAAAAAGAAAGGCCACACTGTTCTGGCATTAAGGTTACGGTGCTGTTAACCTGTATGCTGAGTGTAAAATTACCAAGGTTGTGTGCACTGTGCTTCCAGGAAAAAAACTTCTTTCACAAAGTCAGCGAACGCCTTTCGAAGCCAAACATATTCATCCTGAACAATCGCTGGGATGCGTCAGCGTCAGAGCCGGAGATCATTGAAAAGGCAAGTGGGACTTGCATGGTCGCATAGTAAATGTGTTACTTTGATTATTATGAGTAATAACAAAGTAGTAGTGTCGTCGAAATTGTAGATATTGAGTACTTGTTAATTAACTAGATATTCCTTTCTACATGATGCATTCTCCGCAGGTGCGGAAGCAGCACCTGGAGCGAAACCTCGCATTCTTGGTGGACGAGCTGAAAGTCGCTAACCGTCAACAAGCCGAGGACAGGGTGTTCTTTGTGTCGGCAAGGGAGGTCCTCAATGCCCGGCTGCGCAAACAGCAGGGTCTACCACAGCATTGTAAGCTTCTCACTCCTGCTTCCATCTCTTCTACATTCGTATTTGCCTTTATCCTACGTATGAATTGCCCCGCCAAGATTGTTTTTGGTTTTAGAAAAATTAATATGCACGAACAAAACTGGAATTCTCACAGCACTGGTTGCCATGTGTTGTTTTCTCATGATGTAGAATAGATATGCCCAAGTTTGGTTAGTGGGTGCTAATTGTATATTTACAGTTGTGCCATGGTTGCTAAGCCTGCTCAGTTGGTTGGTGTTGCCAGTACAGGTAGCATGCAGTCCTATTCGAGAGGTGATGACTGAAATCTTTCGGTTACACCAGATTCTGAAGGCACGCTGTCACAGGTCCCGTTAATTCGCGGAGGCGATCGCCGGGCTAATTCCAAGGGTCGAAGTAGCGGCCCCCCGAACCGCACCACGAAAGCGTGGACAATTTAGAAGTGGTCCTATTTGGCACGCCAGCGGACGCCGGCTGTGATCCAAAGAACAAGTCAGAGCCGAGAGTTGATAAACAAAACAAAATTATATTCTCAGTTATGGCAGATCAAAACGATACACAAGTATGCACACTCGACAATAGTTGAATACAATATGTCACCAATCAACAATGTACTACACAGTACAATCAGCCACACTCGAAACAACGGACACAGACAACAATACGCACTACAATGCAGTCGCATGCATCGAACAACCAAGACACTTAAAGACTAAAGAGTTAGAAAACTTATTCAGTCCAAAGTTCTTGGAGCAAAAGTCTGAATGATACTCTTCCGAGAATCACTCACTTAAAGTCCAGCGTTGTTGTCGTTCCGCTGCCCCCGAAGTTTCTCTTCCAGGAAACCTCGCGTCTTCAATTGGCCGCTCTCCAAGCTTCAAACTTCTTCGCCGGAAACACGTAGGCTTCACACACGCAGCTGTTGCCACGCGTCTTCGCTCGATAGCGGTAGACACACGCTCTTGCCTGTAGCTCGAGCCTTCACCCCTCAGGTGGAAATCCTCTTCTTCTCCTGCTTTGTCACTACGGACAAAACCTTCGCCGACTACACGGCGGAATCCCTACGCGCTCTGGCGCTAACTTCCGTCTTCTCCTGCTTTCCCATCTCCGCTGCTTGGTTAAATACCTTCCGCGCGAGATTCCAGAAAGTTCTCATCATTTCGTCGGCGCGATGCACAGCGAAGGCTGGGGGAAAGGGCGAGACGGTACGAGGGCCGTCCGCGACGGATGACGCAACCCTGCACCACCACGCCCCTTTCCATCGAGAACGTTCTAGGTCTCGCTCGGCCGCCGATGTGAGGGGGTTCGACGGCGAACCTACGCTTCCGAGGGGAGAGGGACGCGCGCCCGGGGAGTCTTTGGATGCTTGTTTTCTTTTCTTCCTTATTTTTTTATCGTTGGCCTCTCGGCGCTTCGTCGCGAGAATTTGGCGGCGCGCCCTTTTTTGAGCGCTCGTTTTGTGACACACGCCCTTTAATTTTTATTTTATGTCATTGTCTTCTTTGCGCTTTTTATGTCGTGAGGCCAAAGTATGCACCACATACACAGCATGTTGATTTACAGCATGTTGCATAGAAATAAATACAGCTGTAAATTATAATGCCATAGTTGTTTTTTAATAATGCACAGGTAAACATCGTGTAGATGGATTCCCACTGTTCATATTTGTGTATGTAAATCTTTTCATGTTGATGCTGTCAAAAGTTAACTACACGATTTTGATGAATACATAAGGAAATAATTATTTTAGCTTGCTGAAGTGCGTATGTTACAATAGGCAAGATGGGTACACCCTATTAGCCTTTATGCCACAAACACAAGCACTGACGAAGAAAAATGAGCTGCCAAAATTGCTGTCAAAAGTAGAAATTTGCTAAGGTTAAGATTTTATACTCAGTCACAATAGATAATAAGCACATTGCTTTTAATCAAATTTCCATAAAAAAGAAAGATGATGCTAATTATAAGGGCAAAAACATAGTGCATATTCAAGTGCTGGTCATCAAGCAAAAAATGCAATGATATCTATCTTTGATAAACCTGATGTTATACGGTTTGTGTATCTGGTGGATGTCTTCCGTATAGGTATATATGCCGTCTAAAATAACTGTTCTTTACAGAATTAGCATAGCTGCATTTACTTCCTAACCTCTCTTACTTTTCTGAGTTACAGTTGCACGCATATGAAATATTATAAGATTCTCTGCCTATATGCATGGCCGAGTACAGCTTGTTTTGAAGAATAGTCTGCTCAGAAATTTAGTCACATCCTGTGTAACCAGTGACTATCTGGTAGTTATATAATGGTAGGAGAGGTGTCCATCAATGTGCAGCAGCAGAAGTTGACTCTTTGTACCTCATTATATGCGCAGCGGGCATAGGTCTTGCCGAAGGGTTCCAGGGGAGATACTTTGAATTTCAAGACTTTGAGAGGAAATTTGAGGTGAGTGACCTAATGTGATACCCATTCATAAATGACGAGGTTCTTTGGGACCTGTCACTCCACATTGAAGGCAGCTGTAAAAGCGCTTTTGCTATCTTCTCTTCAGGAGTGCCTTTCCAAGTCTGCGGTAAAAACAAAGTTTGAGCAGCACACGCAAAGAGGAAAAAAGATTACAAGCGAGCTGCGAACCATCATGGACAAAGTTTATGAGCAGGCAGCATCGCTCAAGTGAGTTGTATCTGTGTAATGCTGCACATAGCTTCTACCGCACTTTGTGGTGGATGCGCATCATACTTATCAAATTTGGATAAAAAGCATCCCTTATGCACCACCACTGGTATGACATTGACAGTCTTGTTGTGAGAAAAAAAAAACTCCAGGCCTGCGTGGGATGCACAGCACCGTCACAGTGAAAGCAGGAAGAGCGACCTTTAAGAGCCTTTTTCAAGCACTATTTGGGTAACTGCTACAAGCACAATCGCTGGGTACCTGCTATGCCATTACTAATCATAATTTATGGGTAGTAGGCCGGCATTCACTTATGCTATCCTTTGTCATTCTTCGGAGAAGTGTGGTATCCGCTAAGCACATGCAAGGCATTTTGTGCCAATTGTTCATGCAGTGGCTGACAACGATGAGGAATTATGCCTGAAGTGGGTATGCACCACAGTTAACAGGTGATCAAGAACAAGCTGTTGTAATGGGTTGGAGCATGGGATGACCCACCCGTAACGCTATTCGAATTGTGTGATGCCTGGTTGTTGCTTTGCTGTTCTAAAATGCTTTATTACTCATATTAACGAGATTACTTTTCCGACATCAAGCCTGCCTAAGGCAAGTTTGCCAACAAGTCCCAAGCACCAGCGTGGCTCAGTGGTAGAATACTGGGCGGGCACGCAGTGTACCTAAGTTCGAACCCCACTGCGTCCTCGGTGTTTTTTATTTACTGAGTTTTTTTTATTGCGTGCGATAGTGGTTACGGGCACAGGCGGCAGTGGCATACAAGTACAGCGCCGCACGTGACCAGTGTTGTAATCTCATTACAGCTTTTGCTGTAAAATTCAGCAGGTCCCTCATACCTTGGGAATCGATGTTACGAATCATGTGCATCAGTGCTGTCTTAAGCGATTGCCATCTCCCGTACACAGAGCGGAGAAGCAGACCCTTCGGCATGAGCAAGCGGAGAGGCTGCAGTTCACGCAGCAGCAGCTGCAGTTACTGACGGAGGAGGCGAAGCAGCGCATCGGGCAGCTAGTGGAGCAAGTGGAGCAGCAAGTGGCTGGTGCCCTGAGCGAGGAGATCCGCCGGCTGGAGCTGCTGGTTGGCGAGTTCGAGCGACCCTTCCACCCGGACCCGCTGGTGCTGGGCGTGTACAAACGCGAGCTGCACGCCTATGTCGAGCGGGGCCTTGGGTGCAACCTGCGTGCCCGTCTATCCACCACTCTGCAGATGTCTGTTGAGAACGCACAGAAGGAGATGATCGGTGAGTGTTTTGAATTATACTGGGCACATGTCTGTACCATCTGGGAGCAAAATTTCAGAATGTATTGATATATCGGGGGCACTTTTCAGGCGCTTCTTCATTATCTGTGCATGATCATCATCACATAAGGTTCTTCATCATCATCGCTTGTGGGGACTCGTCTTGAGGTTGTGCTGTGCCTTGGATGTTAACGTTTCACCACGTCCTCAGCATGCAAGGAGGGTCGATTGCCATATCACAATATGATCAATTGATGGTAAATGAGTGCCTTTACAAATAAGATTACATGCAATGCCTGCCTTTTTACAGCAGTACACCAAGGTGTACTGCTTTACACTGCTGCTACCAAGCAGTACACCAAAGTGTTGCACAAATGGTGTAGTATAAAGGGTTTGAATGGAGTGAAATACATAAATGATTATGTACAATTTACGCATGCCATAAGGACCTTCAGGCAGTCAGAATTTACTCTTACTCAAGCATGGTGTGCCACTTCCCAGCAGACTTGATGCTTTAGGTAGCATGCGAGGGTTTATCATTCAGCTGCAACCTTGTTAAAAGGTCATGTGCCGTGTGGCACTGCCTAGTATAAAGAATGTTCTGCACTCGCCACCTTGGCTACGAGTAGCTCTGGCTAACATTACCAGTGATTACACGTACAAAAATACTTGCCATAGTGGACAGAGGAGCGCCCTCCGTCATAGCTCAATTAGTAAAGCATCGGATGTGTATTTCGAAGGGTGCGAGTTCAAGACCTATCGATAAAAAAGGTGTTCTTGTTCATTTTAATTCTTTTCAGTTTATGTCGTTAATACACTACAAATAAAGATGAAATACTAATGTCACCTATGCTACCTTTGGCCCTGTTGAAATCATATGGTTGTGTCTAACAGGAAAACAAGCCCTTTGAACAATTTCCCTCCTGTCATGCATTATAAGATGGTGGTTTTGGCATATTAAACCCAAAATTTTAACAATTTCACTTCTTACAATGGACAGTGTGTGTCAGTTACTTATTTGCCACCTTTACCATTTTGCCCTTGCCAGGACGAATGTCATCACTGATACCGTCAGAGCAGCAGCCGCAGATGCTCAATGTTCTGCCACGACACAACTTTGAGGTCCTGTACCGAATCAACTGTGAGAGCCTCTGCTGCGACTTCCAGGAAGACCTGCAGTTTCGCTTCTCATTTGGCCTGGCTAACATGATAAAGTTTTTTACGCAACACCGAAAAGTGGATCCAGCAACTGGTAGCAGCTACTCAAACATGGTATGCTGTCTTTCATTAATTGTCATTGCCTAGAGTATATATTTTGAAATAGTTATTATGCAGTGGTGTACATCGCAAAATTTGCATCATCATCGATTTTGTTATGAAGCCTGTACGCTTGCAAGACCTAAATGAATTTTTCACTTTTGAGCTCTTGGAATATCAAACCCACTTCTATGTGATGTTTTTATTAGGTTACATGGGAATATGAGTGCATAACTGAATAAGGACTACAAAAAGACGACTTTCCTTTTGATCGTCTTTCTTTAGTTACGCACTTGTATTTCCAAGTAACATAAACCACCAACTCACCCAATTAGCCATTTTGACAAGTTACTGTAGCGTCTTTCTTCTGAGACTTTTCTAAGCTACAGCTGGTGCAAATTGGCTCGTAGTCATTCGCTAGGCTATGCCTCATAATCATACATTGGTATTGGCACTTAAAAGCAGAATCTTTTCAGGATATTAAACTGCATGAACCAGTGAAAGAATTCTGTTCTGGCGAGGGAAGTTAAAATAAAATAAAAGGGACAATCGTCGTTCCTGTTATGTGAGGAGCACGGTAGCATCATTGGTCACTTATGCGCAGATTCCAAGGCCGCAGCTGAGCACACCACAGACACCGAGCAATGAGATCAAGGTGTTCCCGGCAGCTCCTCCAGACTACCTGGGCATCGTGCACAAGTTGGCAGTGGTCTCCCCAACACCTCAGACTGCTCTCGGCGTACTCACAGTTGGTGGATGCGTGAGTGTTTGTGTGTTCACTGTGCCACGGAGAGTGGGACTCATTCAATTTTTCCATGAACGAAAGTTTGTTCATATCTACAACGAAGCTGAATGTATTTTTGAAGCAACGTGATAAAGAAGGGAAACTGTATTGACAAATAGAGCAGATTAATGTTAAGGAAGGCAGATTATGGTAGGCCAGGAAGAAAAAAGCTGTGAAATTGTGTTGACATCATTCCGTTTTTGAGATACAAGGTGACAAGTTCAAATTCTAACTGCTTCAGCCACTTTCCAATAAGGGTGTAGTGTAATAATGGCAATGTAACCAATACCCGTGTCCCATGGGCATTTGTAAGGCTGTTGAGCCGGTCATCTATTGACTCGACTGTCAAGCACGAGCTGCCACACGGGCAATTTTGAAGGCCAGTGAGTCAATAGTCTATCGAGTTAACGGAGCACCCCACACCTTTGTTGAAACTTCGAAGGCTTTTGAGTGACGAAGCGGAAACAGCGCGAACGTGGTAACCTTGACAAGCGGTGAATACGTGGCCACAGCTTGGCTGCTCAACAGCTTAAAAATCAAACATGCATTTGTATTTACGTGTAAACAATTTATATACAATTATAAAAATTTATAACAATTTTAAACAAACAATTTATAAATAATTTACCGTATTTACTAGTGTAATGAGTGCACTCGCATAATAAAAGCACCTCTAACTTCAGTCGTAAAAATTTGGATTTTTTTTTCATGCATAATAAACGCACCCCTTACATTCATCCCTTGCAGCCCCGCTAACCAACACCTGGCGCCTACTTACCCTTTGGATCTCTTCCGTTAATAATTATTATGCCAGCCCCCTTCGACTACCTTGGCTCGCTCCCTCCCCCCCTTTGCCCGTTGCCACGTGCCATATTGTTTTTATTTTTATCTGTGCGCTGCGCGTCTCCCTCTTTATCTGTGCGTCACAGCGGGGTTCACGAATACGAGTGTAGAGACATCGCAACTGATAAGCACATAACGAGCGAGAGCTAGCAAAGGTCACGAATCTGCCCGCACAGACCGACGATCACTTCCTGCAAATACAAAACTTTGAGGCCCAACGACGTGCATGCTATTTTCGAGCAACGATGACAGGATTTACTGTCTCGAAAGGTCATTCGTCACTATCGTGTCTCAGGTTTCTGGAAAAGCAGAAAAAATCGCTTGTCACCCAGAAAAGACCGTGACGATTTCCACAACATGGTAGCACCCCGGATACTTTCCTCGCTTGTTCGCCGCGCATACAGAAACTTCTCATGTGGAAGTGAGGAGGCGGCTGTATTTTGTCATTAATCTTGTTATCGATGGTTCGTTTTTATGTTTCGGGGGGTAGCTTGCTGCAATGTTGGGTACTTGCTACAATGACAACAGCGTCGTCGTGCGAGGTTGCCGCGAAGTCGACAAAGTGCATTGTACCGCACGCTTCTGGGCACCCCTCGAGATCACAACAGATACCACTCTTGCGGTTAAACTATTGCGCGAAAAGATAGCCGCAAAACCCTTTTATGGCGTGGGCAGGCGGTGCGGGGACAGCTTGCTGAAGATAGCCCCATCAACCACCGAAGATGAGTAAAGTGCAACAAAGAACGTGTTTCCAAACAGTCTACGCGTATGCGAAAAGCTAAGCGACCTAAGTTTTTTTTGCATTACAGCATTTTTTGCTCATGCCGAAAAAGTTTTTTATAAAATCTGCCCCGCATAATAAACGGAACCCCAACTTTGCTCAGACTTTTCGAGAAAAAAAGTGCGTTTATTACGAGAGTAAATATGGTATATATAGTAACAGCCATGTATTTGCTACACAATTTCACTTAGGATTACATGAAAACGAAAATAAAGGTTTGCAGCGCCATGCAATTTTCGCGAGAAACACCTGAACCATTCACTGGCCGTTAAAAACTGTCATGTAGCAATGCAGTAACTCTGTTGAGTCGATTGAGCTGTGGCGTTGACGGCATTCGACTCGATTGCCTTTCAAAAGTACCCGTGTTACACGGTCTATGCGTCTATGTGACATTAGCCTATGTGCCAGATGAAAAAAAAAAAAAAAGAACTCTGTGTTGTCATAAGTTGATCTTGAGCCCTCTACTGCAGCTACTTAAGCATACATAGCCACAATTTACTTTTCTTCAGCCCATTAGTGCAATGCAGAATTGTCTTGAGACTGTTTTGTTAAATGTAGACCTAACTGTTCGAATACTTGAGGAGCTAGAAACAACAAAAACAGTTATGGTACCCGTAAACTTAAGATTGTAGCTCATGAGTGTATGTGACACCTTCTGAATCAATTTTCACAGATGGTTCGTGCCATTGGGTGGAAGGTGATTGCTGTAGCAGTGGGAACATATGGAGCTCTCTACCTCTTCGAGCGACTGACGTGGACTAACCGGTCAAAGGAGCGCTGCTTCAAGCGCCAGTATGTGCAGCACGCCACTCGAAAGCTGCGTCTGATCGTTGACCTCACGAGCGCCAACTGCTCTCATCAAGTGCAGCAGTAAGTGTGCGTTTAGCCAGTTTAGCCGAGGGGTTGCTTTCATTATTGTGTAGAGAGAAGTCTGGAACCATCATTCATGCCAGTTTTCTAATGGGTTCAGCGCCATCATGGCAGTGTAAGCAGGATAAGGATGTGTTTCTCTCTCACCTCAGACATTGCTTTCGGAAAAAGAAAATGAGTGTCCTTGATCGAGAATCACAGCTTAATATCCCAGCACTGTGATAACTGTCAGAGTCATGATTCACACATTAGGAAGCTTAATGCACTTCGACATATCAGTAGTAATACTAAGTGAATTGTCGGCATTAGGTAGGTAGTAGAATTGCCCAAGTTTGCACGTTTCTGCACCTGCTTTAGATGCACTGAGAAATCAGTGTCACCCGTGTGCCATCTATTACTGTGTACGTGTTTTTTTAAAGCCTTACCGTATTTCCTCTGCTGAATGATAGGTTGTACAGCGCGCAAAGATCACTAGTGCCTCTTTGTGACTCATTACGCTTCAAGGAGTGTACATGCCTTTACATGTTACTATTCTGGGTGAGCTTGACTGTAAAGCTGTTGCAGGCACGCGCGATACTAACACTGCAAACCTGTCTTCTCATTTGCAGAGAATTGTCGAGCACGTTTGCTCGTCTGGGACACGTGGTTGACGAAGTGGTGAACGATATGGATACGGACATCAAAAAGCTGGATAAGGAGATCGCCAAGATGGAGGAGGCCACAACCAATGCCAGAACCTTGAGGTACTGCTCCCAACAGATTCGTTCAGCAAGAGTTAAGATTATTTGTAATTTACGATCACCAACAACAGAACAAGACAGAGCCTTGTGTGAACTTTAAATTCCCTCTCTTTCAAGGCTTAGTATGTACATTGAATATATTGGATCACTGTGTAATTTTGAAAAGCTATCACACACTGGAACAGCGAACTCGAGGCTTTGTGATCGGTCCTTGGAAGAATGCAGTTTTTTCTTATAAGTCAACCCTGCATTTTTAAATAAAAAGCCAGCACTCGCTACTGTACATCATAATGTAAGTATGCTTCCTGGGCACCTCATTCCAGCAGCATGAAAATCACACTGTTGAGAACATGGTCTCTTCAAGTTTCACTCCAGTACTCATGATACTAGTTATAAAACTGTGGAAATGTGGTGAATAGAATGAATGAGTTGAAATGATATCTTAATTTTTTAAGCTCTGAATACAGTCGCATCTAAGGGTAATTTTAATGTGCCTAAGAGGTGTACTTGTTCAAACATAAAAGAGGTTAGCCTTCTAGCCCGAAATTTATCCTGTTCACATTATATTTGTGAACTATATTTGACGTGCTATCTTAAATATATAAACTTAGAGCTAGGGTTGTCCAAATAGCAATTTGATCGAACAATTTCAAATTTAATTTGAGTAGTATAGATATCACAAAAAAAAATGAAAAAAGCAGAGCGTACTTGTCATGACAAAACTAACCTGTGCAATATATATATATTTTTTAATTGAATGAGGCATGTGCAAATGTCATTCTTTTCGGTTCATGGTAAGTGGAAGCAACTTTGAATAGTAGCAGGATTTGACTGTCGGTAGAATGCAAGTGATAACTTGTAAAATATGTTATGTTTTAAGTTTACTCTACTCAAAGCATATAAGCCTGTATAACAAGTTTTTAAACATTGAAAATTGTGAGCTGATGTGAGGGTAATATGCTCATTTAACCTTGAAATAGAGATTTGTGCAGTGCAGATTTTCCCTTGACAGGTGTAATTACTTTATAGCATCCCTTTACTTCAGCGATACCAACCACATTTACAGGGAGATAACATGCGGCCTGATAGGCACTTGTTTGTTCATTTCGAATACTTCTAAATATCCTGTAATTTAAATGCGAATTGAAGCGAATTCGATAAGTGTAATATCCGCTCAAATATTCAAAGTGCTGTAATATTTGCACCAGCCTGCTTACAGCCAGACATGTGGGACTAGGATGGTTGAGCGGGTTTGTGAACTCTCGCGATGCCGTTTTGCATCAAAAAAAGTGAGAGACTGTTGTTGCTTTTATCTTTGCAGGAACAAGGCTGGTTACCTGATGAGTGAATTAGAGACTTTCTCGCAGCAATACCTGCAGTACGATTAGTAGAGGATGGGGACATTACTTGGGACTGGTTTTTAGTCTTCCGTTGGCTCTGACAGCAGCATCTTCTCAAGTTTTCTTGTGTGGGAGACTTTTGACAAGCATGAATATCTTCAAGTTGCCTTTTTCTGTTTGTTGTCTTGCATGATTTTGTTGTTTATATAAGTGAACTAATAACAGTAATTTGACCTTTGTATGAAAGGAAATTCAGAAATGTTTTAGCAGATGTGATTATGCAAAAGAAATATGTTAGCAGCACTTTTTGTGTTAAAGTTGGGCAACATTTTGTTTCCCACATTGCATGCTAGTGTTTCTTTGTCAGGCACCGAAATCATCCGATTTATTTATGCTAAATGGCTGTGATCTTTGACTCTATATTTGTTGTTTAAGCCTGCTGAGAACAGTTCTACAATTACCTTTGTTGCCGTATATCTGTTTTTTCTAGCAATTGGGATTTTCTTGTTCAAGCATGCATCAGTTGTCAATGTATGGCTTTTTGTAGGTATAATTTACTGTGCATTTATGGAATCAATTCAGTGAACACTTTTTTTGTTCAGAGTAATTATAATTGTGAAATAAACAAGGCTGGCAAGCACAGGTCTATTCTTTTAGACTGCCTTGTTATTTCACTGATGGTATTCGGGCACTTCTCTTAAGGAATGCACTTCATTTTCAGGTGAAAGCTGAACGTCTCACATTCATCCCGTTTTAATAACATAGTACTATTTGAGTAATATGTTCTGGATTTCGTAAAGCTGTCTCAAAATAGCTATGTAACACAGTCCTCAGCCAACAACTTCATGCAGCATACTAACTACATTGAAAGAGCTGCTTGGGTGGAGCGATTGCGGGCCAAGTCTCCTAGGCTTACGCCAGTCTGTGGCAACATCATCAGCATCACCAACACAACATTGTCACAGCTTTTCATGAGGGTGTTACTGAGAAGACCTTCAGATTGATGTCGAATTGTTTTAGTCTCTGTTAACTTGGGCACATTTCTTGCATGACTAAAAAGATTGAAGTCATTGTGTTGTAGCTTGGATCTACTACGTTGTGTAGTTGTATCTTTGAACTAAAGTATAGTGGCGCACTAGGCAAGCTTGTATAGGTTCATGTCGAGACATAGGGCGAAGAAACTGGGAGACAAAGAAAAAGACACAGGACAGTGCCTGTCTTGTCTCTTCTTCTCTCTGTCCTGTTGCCTTTGTTCTCTGTTGTACTATATCTTTGTTTTCTCTGCACTAGCTTTTCCTCACGATTGTGTTCATTCATATGTAGATCCCAATTCTAAATAAGTTTACACAAGTGTAGAAGCTTGGGCTAGTTGGTCTGGGTTCACAACGGTGGATTTTACAGCATGTCAACGTAGAAAGAATCTGCATCTTCTACTTCTATCCTCTTTAGCTCTCTTTTATTCTTCGTCTACTATTAAATAAGTCCCATGCAGCGATACTTCACTACATTTTTCGCAAAAATGTGGTAAGCATTTCATGCTATCGTAATTGTCCACCTATAATCGACGATACAAATTTTCAATGACAGCATGGCAGCATCATGAAGAAGGGATTATTTAGTTGACATAGATATCAGAAAAAAAAAGGGCGTGCTGCTAAGAGGCTTTTTGAAATAAATAAAATTTAGTTGGAGAAAATTCGGTTCTTGCATCGTTTTGTGATGACTTTATAAAAAGTGAGCATATCCTCCTGTGAAAGCTTGAACAAGTTGGTATAAATTCATTAGCATTAACAGTGCACATAAGAATAGGTAATGTGACAGAACGAACAGAGTTGTGCTGTATGAATTGACTTTGTTCTGTCCAATTTCCTGTTCTTGTATGTGCTGTAAATACCGTATTTACTCGATTCTACCGCACCCTTGATCGTAACGCGCACCCGATTTCCATGACATTAAAAAAGTAAGACATCGATTTCAACGCGCACCCCTTTTTCTCACTGGCCCGCACGATCACACCACTCGAAAAAACAACTCCTTTCGGGAGAGTCTTCCATTTAAATATGATGCACGGGGGAAGCTTGTGCTCATCACACGTGTAATAGAGCATTGCCGCCACTGTAGTTTTACCGTGAACCGATGTCGGCACACAAACTTGCTTCGCTCCCTTCTTCTCGACGGTTGTGGTACTAGGCATGTCCAAGTAAAAAGCCGTCTGATCGGCATTCCCGATTTGCCCAAGCAGATAGCCATTGTTGTGCCGCAAGTTTAGGACGAACCTCTGAAAACTGTGAAGCTTTGCATCGTACTCCTCTCGAAACCTTTCGCATATGCCCGTTCACCTTCGGAGGGAAAAGCCTTTCCTCTTCGTAAAGTTAGTTAGCCAGCACCTGCTCGATTTAAACTGGCTCCGCAATAGACCTTTTTCTAAGGCTAATCACATAGCCTGCACTTGGAGCAGTTCTGTCGTCACGGGCCGCTGTGCCGCTCGCTGCTCAAGCACATACTCGTCGAGCAGCTCTTCAATTTGCGGAAACCGACCCTACTGTGGTCCACTGAAGCCTTTGCGTGAAGCTTTGCTATCGACAATCTTCTGCTTTTGTTTCCTCCAGTCCCGCACGCACGTTTCGGGAACTCCGACCGACCGCGATGCTGCCCGATTTCCGTTTGTTTCTGCACACGCGATGAATTTTCTTTTAAAAGCGGCATCGTGGTGCATTCGAGTTTTTGGAGTCCGCCCTTCCATGCCGTCGATGCTAATGCACTACAAGATGATGAACTCCTCAGCTCACGTACGAAGTGCCGCACTTGGAAAACACATAGGCAGAAATGGTTGACGCACCATGCCGACGCACGCAGGAGGCGGCCATTTTAGAAATGCGGATGGCAATAGAATGACCGTATTCATTTTTTTTTTCGTACTCGCTTCTAACGCGCATGCAATTTATGAACTCGCTTAACCGGAAAAAAGGTGTGCGTAAGATTTGAGTAATTACGATACTGTTTTCTAACAGGTGTTTGTTGCATATTCATTGATTTTCACTGGTGAGAAGCATTGGAATGGGCCATAACTGTGAAACAGAAAGGAACTGCTTCCCAGCTAATGTTTGTATTACTACTGTTACATTTATAGTCATTGAATATTGGAAAGGATACCTGGACCAGCAGATTCCACTGTGATAGAGTTGCCTTTAAGTTTACCTTATATTTGACTCCACATCTTTGTAACCTAGTGTGATATACGTGGTTAGATAATGGGAATAATAGGCGTCAGTTCTCTCGCTGAAGTGTACCTTGTAGATATGTTCGTGTAAAAAGAAGAAACATTGGACATTCCGAAGAACTCACAAATTTTGACATAACAAAAAAGAAAGGATGCCTATGAAAATGAAGAGCAACGTGAATGGATAATAGTAAATGGCTCGGTCTCATGGTCGAACACGAATAACTACTCATGGGGACATAGTCAGTACTTGTATACTTCAACGTACCTAAATGAATGCAACAGAAGACAGCAATCTTAATTGAAAGCATAATTAAAACATGCAGCTGGATAAGTGTAATGAATTTCTGAGAACAGCTTCACGTGCCGGATTTCCTTGGACCAATGCAAATCTAGGGTTGACGTCTCTGTCCTGGCTGCCACCACTTGAAATTTGTGTGCACAGTGCCAGTGGCAAACGCGTTAAGCTGTTTTTCCCTACTGTTGCTGTCAGAAGGTAAGTAAATTTATTATTAGAATTATGAAGTGTGAGCCCTTCAATCATCACCATCAGTCGCCATTTGAAGAATGGGCCATCTGTTTGGACAGAAACCTCATTATGTGCCCACGTCCACTATGGCCAACCTCGTTCCAAGAGAGTTCTTCACCTCCTTCTATTGATTTCTACATATTGTAGAATATCTTTTAAAAGAAAAGTATTGGTTATGTTCATGCTTTGTGCCTAAGAACACTCGTGCACATTTGGGCTGTCGTTCTGCTTTACCAAGAGCCGATGACTTCCACTGGTACATCTTCATTGTACAGCCTTTGTTATCACAACTTCGTAAGCATGCTTATGTGTTGGGTACTGCAGCAAAGATTTGTGTTTTGGGTACTAAGGCAGGTGCCATTCCTTTTTTTTTTTTTTTTTTTCAAATTGCTAAAGTCATTCTTGCACAGCTGTTGTCGCTTCGCTATAGGATGAACTGTTTGTGGGGGGACACAAACAAAGATGACTTTGACTTCGTTCACTGTTTTCTGCTCTAAAGGTCACATATGTGATTTTCTTATTAATGGCTAATGAAAAGTTCAGGAAGAGTTTTTATAGTGACATCTTAATGGCCATGCAAATTGTGTGTGTAATCCATTTTCGATAGAGGCGAAAATGCTTGAGGCCCGTGTGCTTAGATTTAGGTGCACGTTAAAGAACCCAAGGTAGTCGAAATTTCCCGAGCCTCCACTACGGCGTGTCTCATAATCATCTCATGGTTTTGGGACGTTAGACCTCAACAATTAATTATAATTGTAACAAGTGGTTCCAACCAAAATCATAGTTAGAAAACTATATACGGTCCACCTGGACAAACCATGCACACTCGTGTACATCTCCAACTTTCCTTGCAGTTCTCACAGTGTTCGTAAACCATGGTTGAAAACATGGTGTCTATATTTTGCGGTTCGAAAAGGCAATCCTGGTCACTTGCAGCTGTTGCATTATTGCAAATCACGATTGTGTCAGCATGTGAGAGATTTGCACTAATCACGCAAGAACAAAAAAACAATGTGCTGTAGTTTACGCTGCCGAACCAGTACTAAATATTCACTTTTTGGCTGCATGAGGTTGGTCGAGGCTTCATGAAGAGTGGCTGGCGAAATCACAAGTCTCGGCTAATTGCATGTGCCAAAGCTGGACCCGCTTAAGGGCCCAGCTTATCCCTTCGTGGATATAATGTGGTGTGATCAGTGTCATCACGGTCTCAATCAAGTGGTCAAACACAGGCCTAAAACGAGGCTACCGATGCTCTAAACTTGGTTAATATTAACGAAAATCCAAAATATTATAATTAATTGATACAACTATGAAGTAATCAGAATATAGTTGATTTAAAATATCAAAAGACGCCTCGCAAACCTGCGGCAAACAACCACGCTATGCAAGAGAGGGCGCCACCACCTGTCCAAGCGCGCGATTGCTCTTTCTACCGGCGCTCTAAAGGAGGAAATAAACCGACGTATCTCGCTGATTATAATTAATTGATACAACTATGAAGTAATCAGAATATAGTTGATTTAAAATATCAAAAGACGCCTCGCAAACCTGCGGCAAACAACCACGCTATGCAAGAGAGGACGCCACCACCTGTCCAAGCGCGCGATTGCTCTTTCTACCGGCGCTCTAAAGGAGGAAATAACCCGACGTATCTCGCTGAACACGACACGTATATCAACTGCCGTAACAAGGGGGAAGTAGATAAGCGCAGCAAGAAGTAGCGCGCATGTCACAATTCGAGTTTGTGAATCTCCGTAACAAGATTCCACTCTTGTCGGGGGAAACCTGCCTGTTTACCTCGGGTTTCACAGTAGTGAAGCTGCGTTTAGCACATGATTCGGAACTACACCACTAACTACGCAAGAACGGTTTTTTTTTTTTTTTTTTTTTGCCACATCCCGCTCCCTACTGTGCCACAGTCCCATGGTATTCATGTGAGCAGAATAAATCACGGGTCCCGCAGAACACTTGTTCTAAAGCGAAAAATTCGCTCGAAGAACAAATATTTTCATTTTGCAGGTGTCACACGCACGGTGTATTGCTAATCGCGACCAAGCCTGAATTTCTCAGCACCGATTGGCTCCCTTGCACACATTGCGTAAAATAACCAATCACACGATGAAGAAATTCGATCCGTCGCTCAAAAATGACCACGTGACACCGGGTTTTATCAAAAGCAGATATAGCACATAACGACAAAGCTGGTAGTGGCGCGATAATCTCTGGTTGTAGCCAGCGCCTACCCGCCAAACCCCGATCCCGTTTCCTCTGTTCCTCGCTGGTCTGGCAACGCCAAGTTTAGAATTCGCTCTCTAATCAACATGGCAACGTTCAACGACAAGCTCGCACCGCATCTCGAGCGAATCCGAACTCCTGGACATGCGGACAAAGTTTACAAAGATGAGTGTGTCTTCTCATTCGACACACCAGTAAGTTTATTTCTCAACGCGCTCCCATTTGCACGCATAGGCGCATTCGTTATCCCACTGCTCGCCGGCAAAATGTCGGGGGTGGTGGACGCACCACACGAGCTTTTAATCGCAACGGCGTAAAGGCCGTTGGCCTCTGTGCATATGCTTATCAATATTTACTTTACGTGTATCTTCATTGGTACTCATGCACTGTGATGGGTGTTGCGATGCCCCGCTTTTTTTGTTGTTGTTGTTGGTGGTGGTGGTGAACGCGTCCGAGCGGTTTCGGCGCAAATGCGTTCACCAACGCCGACTCACTCTCGTGCGGGGTATTTTGCATCAAGAGTTACCTATTGGAGTTCGTTGAAAAGGAAGGACGAATGCGTAGTACCCGTACCTTTGGTTGGCGGGCTGCCCTGCGAACTCACCGAGGACTCGCCGCCGTGTATTTCAGGAGTCCGAAGGAGGCCTCTACGTGTGCCTCAACACTTTCCTCGGATTTTCCAAGAAGTATGTGGAAAGGCGTTACGCGAAGACGGGGAACGCCGTCTACCTTCACCTGAAAACCACAAAAAAGGAGGTGCGTAGCGTGAGCAGTTGATTCGAGACCCCTGGGAACTTTCGCCGCAATGTTATCGGTGATGTAAACATACCGCAGGTGACGGATGACAGGCCGGCTGCCAAGAGAGCTGCTCCTACGAAGCTTGCCATCGGTGGGTAACGCATGCGTCCTGGAAGTATCGTTGTGTGGTTTGCGATGGCAGCCACAGTGGCGCTATACAGCGGAGCTTTGCTTTGTTTTATTACGACATGCGCGCCTTTTCGGCTCTTACCATCATACTCTCACCCCACTCTCTGCCATGTAATACATACACATATGTACACGCACAAGCACACTTGCATCTATACATTTTACATTGGTTCTTGAGCTACATTTGTGTCCATCCATCAATGCAGAAATAATTTTAAAGGTTCTGCATAAGGAAGCACTTCAAAACTGACCAATGCATCACATGGGTTGCTCCAAACAGCTTGAGAAGCCATTTAAAAGGCTGCACTGTTTAGTGGTAGTGCATTAGAGATATTTTTCAGCTACTGCTTCTGTTGGAGGACCAAGGAAAACATTATTGCTGTATTTTTCACTAAAAGCTGCAGCACATGTGCCCGACTCAGATTGCAATCTTTGCTCATAATGTTGAGCAAAAAATATCAAACATCTTAAGGAACAATTGATACAGACAATAACAAAAGCTCTTGCTTGGTGTGCAGTGCATTCATTTATAAGCTTTATAACATCATTGGCTTTTATTTTAGGTTTGGAGGGAGGTTTTGATGTTGACATGGGCAAGAAGTATGAATATGAACATCACAACTCTCTCGTCATCCTGCCAAACTTCGACTCGATTCCCCTGCCGAACACACAACTCCCTGAAATGGTGTGTCTCGTCAAGTTCTCGATCGTTAGCGTGCATGTGCAGCCACATTCATTAAAACTCCTCTTCCTTGTAGGTGCAGCTTTCCATTGCAGCTGTTCTTGCAGCTGACTCTGCCAATGTTGTTAATGAGTTGGAAGCCATGGCTGGAACATGGGATGGAGAGAAGAGAGTGCCATCAAAGTAAGCGTAGGGCTTTCTTCGGTGATAGTGAGTTCCCCTCTGTGGAACAGTAGTTACGATGCTCGGCGTATGACGGAAAGTCTGAGGGTTCGATCCCTGCTACGACAGTCTCATTTCAAGGGGAGATGAATATGCTAGAGGGCTGTTTACTTTTTCGATGTCGGTGCATGTTGAAGACTACCAGATCAGAATTTTCCAAGTGCTCCACTATGGTGTTTTTCATTAACATAGTGCGGTTTTGGCACGTAACACTCCAGATGTTAATCTTATTATTACAGCTGAAACTTGATTCAACGAATTTCGTTTTATCAAGCTCTTGGTAAAATTGAAGAAGGGATCTTTTGGTACCTCGAAAGCTAAAATTGTAACTTAGTGTCGCCCGAACGCTACCACAGCATTTCATTTGCTGCGAAAACACGCCTGGCTGTATGTGAAAAGTTCACGGGCGCTGCAGCCCGAGCATGAAGCCTCCCATATTTGCCAATACAGACGATATGGACGGTCATGCGAAGCTATGACAGGCCGCCAGTACTCGAATACAGGGTGATAAAAGGTAGTTATTGTGCAAGCAGCTGAAGCAAAAAATTTTCAAGGAGACGATCAGTGTCACTGTCGCATTAACCATTAAATCCGCATAATCAAGGCAACCACTTTTAGCAGGGACAACGAATTGCTACTGCCTCTGGGGCCATTTGATATGTAACAGCGCAACCGACTGAGGCATACAGCCTCGTAAAACAAAGCTAGTGGCATGACTAGTGGCTAGACGTTTAAACACTATAATGTTATAGCGTACATATGAAAAAAGCCTGTCTCAGTAAATATTGGACATAAATTACTGCTTATTTATTTCCAGAAAAAAACTTCATTAAATCGTGTCTCTTGAATGCTTTGTGTATTCAAGTTGATGAAAAAATTAGACCCTATTTGTGTCTTTCGTCGGTGAATTTAAATGTTTCGTTATTTGAGATTTCCTTGGGTTAAGTTTTAACAGTGTATTATTATTATTGTTGTTGCTGCTGTTGTTTACTTTAACGCTTTGCAAGCACTCGCTTCAAGACTAAAAGGGAGGCTAAAGAGGAGAATGATTTTTATTGTACCAATAGAATACCCTTTCTCAATACCAAAAGTGCAGTACTACCACTCTTTCTAAACGAAAACGGTTGGTAAGCTTGAAAGTGGCTGCAAAGAAAGTGCAGGTCGTTGCAGTTTGCCACATGAACTCTCACTAATGTGATAAACTTTCAGTTTCTGCTGGGACCTGCATAATTTTTTTTGCCAGTGAAAGTTATATAAGTTGTCTTTTATTCGTGTGAAGAATCTAACATAGCAACTTTTATTAGCCTAGTCAGCCAAAATATGAAATAGCCAGACTGATGTTAGGGATGCCAAGGTTTTGGTGTGAAATTCGTCAACAAAACTTTGTCCTTTTTTTTCTTCACTTGCAATAATGAATTTCAGATTGTAAAACTAAAGGTAATATAGCTTTCATTCGATTGCTTACCACTCCAATTCCAATTTATTATGTCACTTTGATGTCCCTTTGGAATAACTTTCGATGAAGAATATTAGCACTTAGCAGTTGCATAAATAATATGAGGGATCAAAGCTTGCTGTGCAAAGCTATATATTTTGTTATAAACATGTTATGCGATGTAACCTTTCAAGACCAGTGCTGAACTGCTGCTCCAACATTTAGAACTATGCTGTCTAGGCATATGTTTTGCTCACCACATTAACGGTACAGTTCTGCTTCTTTTTTTCTGTTCACGGCACAAGCCACTGCACACAGTTACCAGAGTGCATGCATCTGCTCACTGTTATGGCTGCCATGTGATGCATCATTTCTTATGCCTGTCTTGTGTTTTTTTGTTATTGCCTTTTGCACTGTGAAATAAAATTGTACTGCACCTATTCACTGCAAAATTATATTTTTCCTAGAATTTGTGTATAATCTGTGAATGCAGCTTTTAGAAAGCATGGGTATGCGTAACAAAATTCCACACTTGTGGCTTGCCTTGGCAAATGACAAGTGATGTCAAAACGTTTGCACGTGCAAAGTTTCGTGTTTAGCAATTTTGAAGCAGTAGTGCCATGTTATGTCTGCCTGCTTGCATCGCTATATCTCTATATTTGGAAAGAATGTTTATAGTGCAACTGCTGATGTACTCATATTGGGCGAAAAAGGAACAACAGCAGAGCACTTTTCCATATCTTGATTTTCTACCCTCATTGTGTGTGTTGACTGTCATGCTACAAAAATTTGAAATGATGATGGACCCAACCAGCTTCTGCAATCTCGTTGCAATATCATGCATAACTGATTCTTCTTGTGCCAACATTTTAGCATATATACAGATTTTTTTTTTCTGTGTGGGCCCAAGGGAGTCTCTCAAGGCCTGAGGGAATCGTACTTGTCTGCTGGTATTGCATACAGAGGTCCAAGTTGACCGGTCACTCCACATTAGCTTGATTCTAATGGACGATGTTTATACTTTAGGGACACTCAGAATGAAGGCAATTTTTTTATATATTACTAAATTACTCATTCATACTACTCTGAACATCAAACTACACCTGCACCAAACATCGTGACAACATATATTTTGACACCATCCGCTTGGCTCTACGTAATTTCGAACTTGTAAAGATGAATCTGATTGTCCTTTGAGGGTGCCATAGACTTGACTTAGCAAGTTTTACAAAATTTTGTTGAGGCAATGTCGCAAAGTAAAAAAGTCTGCTTTGAAATCCTTGATGTCATGTAGCTGCGATTCTGGTGTGAAATTTAAAAGGAAATTTTAAATTTTGATCTTCTCTTCTATTAGTAAACCTGTGATGGTGGAATTGATCTCGTAGTACAGTTTATCAATCTAATCCAAATAATTCTTTTACATTAGTGTTCCTTTAAGAGAGGTTGTTTTAACAGTTGGAACAAGCTGTGCTTTCTTTTTCTCTTCAATTCTGCAGACACAGCGACACACTGGTACAGCTGGACAACGGTGTGAAAGTAGCTCCGACGGGCTGGAAATGCGAAAGGTGTGACCTCACCGAGAACCTCTGGCTCAACCTGACAGATGGCGCCATACTGTGCGGCCGAAAGTACCACGAAGGCAGCGGGGGCAACAACCACTCGCTTGAACACTTTAAGAACACTGGTTACCCACTTGTAGTAAAGCTGGGCACTATCACACCAGAAGGGGCCGGTGAGTAGCAATGCTTGAAGTCTCTGGATTATTAACTGTTAGCACCGCAGTCTATTGCCAGCCACTGCTGTTTGATTTTCTTTTGCTTAAAGGGGCCCTGCAACACTTTCTGCCCGTGGTCAGAAACGCTGCCGATCGGTAGTAGAGGCTCCTGACAACATGCAAGCCAAATATTATAGCGCAGCAGGCAGCCTGGAGTTCACAATAAATTATTAAGTCTGCTAAAAATTGCTTTCTCTTCTCTCGACAAATCACTGGAATATGCCCAAAAATCGCACGTGGCAAGCCCATCTATCAGCCATTGGCTTGATTTGAGCATGGTGCGCTCGCTCGTTACAGAGATTGCCGCGGGAGGCCGCTACTTGTCCACGCGTGCGCTGCGATCACACTGAAAATGCCGCACATTCGGAAAATAAAAAAAAAAAACTCAAGGTCACGAGGCGCGCGTGACGTTTTGCTGCGGCCCTGCCATCCCTCTCTGCTTAGCTTCCAGGACTTTCAGTTAGGACGAGAGAAGAAAGAATGCAATTGCATGCGACGAACCTTTGTAACTCCACTCGGGCTGCACGGATTCTTAGAATTTTAGCGGCGTTGAATTTGTGAGGCAGTAAGCTTCTTCCAGTGAATTCATTCCATGGTTACTTGAAAAAGTGTTTCAGGAAAAAATCTCGTCCACACATTTTTCATGCAACATGCACTGCTTGAAAAATATCGACATGGTGTGGGACTTCTGGTTCATCGTAACCAAATGATTCGAACAGGAATTATGCCAAGAAAAGCATAGAGGACATTAATTGTTGTCTTTGACTGTATTTTTGTAATTATGAAATAAATTGAAATGAACTGAAGTGGGCCAAAAATTACCCTCCATCAGTGTGATCTGAACCCACTACATTCAAATTGCGATTTCGAAGCTTTACCGATTGAGTATTGGTTGCGTGTTTGGTGTCCAAGCAACACAACTGGAGAAATATTCCTCTCTATTCCATGCTAGTAACATGGTGGCACGATGTTCAGTTTTATACGACTCTTATATTTAGGACATTACTTAGCTAAAATGCTGCCTAGGTAATGCCAGGCTTCTTGCTATGTGTTAACAGAATTCTCAATGGGGCATGGTGAGGCTTTCTTTAACTAGAGTGTTATTTTAATTGACTAAAATATGTTAATTTGCCAGATTTACAGTGCACGTAACATTATGACAGTGTCATACTGCTCATAATTTGTATTAACTGCTCATTTCAGATGTGCACTCTTACGATGAGGATGATATGGTCATTGATACAAACCTTGCCAAGCACCTTGAGCACTTTGGCATAGAAATATCCAAGATGAAAAAGGTATGTTGTCTGCTGTGTTTGCCTACATTAAAACGCATCCTTGTTTGCTTTGTTTTTGTGCCTGTTTTCACTTGCGCTCATTTCAATTTATTAAAATAATAAAAATAAAAAATTGAGGCACATTTTTAACACTGGCACTGCGAATTTGAGCAGTGTCACAATCAGTTCAACTAAAGCATTTTGATTTGTGCTTTGTAGGACCAGGAAAAAAAATAAAAAAAAACTTCACAATAAAATGCTGTGTTATAAGGGACCACAAAGACAGTAAATGAAGGCTCTTGCTACATTAAAATAGACTTGACTCTCAAACAACTTACTCCACTTCGCTTTTGCACGACACTCGGCCAGAAACTGCTGTTATCATGTTCGTTCATGATAATGGGGGCTTTGCTAGTTTCCTCGCAATGCAAAACATGTGCTCATCTGCACAATTTAGTATTCACGGCCAACATTTTCTTGCGTCGAAATGCAGACAGAAAAGACGATGCTGGAGCTGGAGATAGACCTGAACCAGCGAGTGGGCGAGTGGGCACTGATCCAGGAAGCTGGAAGCAAGCTCACGCCATTGTTCGGCCCCGGTTACACCGGCCTGGCCAACTTGGGAAACTCTTGCTACTTGAACTCGGTCGTTCAGGTTGTGATGAGCATCCCGGAGTTCCAACGCAAGTGAGCAACTCTCTTTTTCTCAGCTGCGATGTTGTTGCTGGCTGAAGCTCAGCGCGGTTCAGTTGAGGTTCATGTAATTGAGCAGTTCGTTTTCACGAGATTGTGAGGTTTGGTGTCCAACTTCATAATGCAGGGTCACTGTTAAGCAGTGTTTTGTACGCTCTTCTCTCGTGTGGGTCACACCGTGGGATTCAGTGGTTGCTCTACACTGCTTTAGCCAATAAGCCAGAAGCAGTTTTTTTTTTTTTAATGATGAAAATAGTGCTGTGCACTTGTGTTAATTTGATGTTGTTGGGAGTGATGGAATGGCTTGAATTAATCCAGCGGGTTGAATTAAACAAGGTTCTGTGATACCATTAGTGCAACACTACACCTAGCTTTGCGAGTTGACACTGGGAAAGACGAGATTAGTGGGAATCGCAGGTCGCGCACACATTTGTCCACAATGTTAGTGCAGCTATGATAAAGAACACCGTTGGTTGACAGCTTGTTTGATGTTCAAAAGGGGTTATTGAAGGGCTACATAGTAAAAGCTTGTCGATTCGGATTACACAAGACGAGAAAAGATGTCTGAATTAATCAAATTCTGAATTACCAAAGGTACCAAGCAAGCAATTTTAAAAATGCTATACCTCATTATAACAAACTTGCATCTTACATGGAAAAAAGTTTGTTGTATCCGAAAATTTCCTATAAAGGTTTGTTTTTTAACACTATATCTATTGCAATACTACTTTTCATTTATTTCGTTATAACTGATATTTTGTTATATTCTGTTTCATCTTAACGAGGTTTGAGTGTACATGAATAAATTTTCATTCTCTTGATCAATACCTTAACGGTGCAGTTACTTTGCGAAAAATCGGCATAAAAACCGCAATTTTCATCACTCGCAACTTGGTTCACTATGTCGTCGCGGCTGAACACGGTTCGGGCTTACCACACTGGCGATGCGATTGTGGCGCCTTGTTTTGGTTCTCCCAGAATGCCATTTTAGCTTTTTTTTTTTTTTTTGCGTCGCACATTTGCGGCGTAATGTGTTTGGCGTGCTCTGAAAATTGTCTGAATGAGCTGAGTTGGGGCCAAGTATGATCGAATTAAAGATAGTTTGATTCCATTGAGCAATGCATACACTGGCTGGGAACAGAGAACGTGTCCTCCAATTATCCGATTTTCTGAATTAATGGTTGTGTAATTAATGAGGTTCTATTGTATTTATTACATGAACGCTGAATCCTGCGAATAATGTTATGTTCATTTCAAAATGGCTTAGTGTTCCTTGCATTGGCAATAAAACTATAGTCATGTTTATTGACATGGCACTTATGATTAATCTGTCAAAATGAGGCATTTAATACATTGATGTCGCTAGGTATTTCAGTGGAAATCATTGTGTTGTTGTCTCTTTCTTGTCCTAGGTACTACGATGGTGCAACTCAAATATTTGACAGTTTTCCACCTGATCCTGCTGAAAACTTTACAGTTCAAATGTAAGTTGTTTGTGAATGTTCGTCTTGCAGCGTTGTGCCTACCCCGTCACGTCACACATTCTAAGAAATTTGCTGTCTTTTCTCACACGGAGGCATTGGTTATGTAGCATTTATTTTTCTGCCAGGATATGCTTTATGGTGGCATACGCTAGTCTTGAACGAGGCACAAAAGCTGTTTAGTGCAGCTTGAATATTTTCTTGTGCACTGCTGACAATACTGAAGTTACAGGCACATTGTTGCAAGGTAGAAAAGGTACCATCTACAAAGGGGAAAGCTACAAATTAACTTGCTATGAGAGTGCATTAATTTTGGAAGTTCTACATGCAATAAAGTATTGTGTAAAATACAGCAGAATATCACTATGAAAAGTATTTTTGGAAACTTCCAGCATAAGAAAAGAAAATGCTTTGCATTTTAAAATGTTGTAATTCGTTGTCACGTTCATACTGTTTTGAACGTAATTGCAAATGTTAGAAGGGCGCTTGTAATTATATCTTTCCATTATTGGGCGATATGATTAGTGAGATTGCAGCTATGTTTCACATCACTTCATAAAGTGTGGTGCAATGTACTTTCCTTAATTTTGCTATTCAGGACGAAGCTAGCAGTTGGTATTCTCTCTGGTGACTACTCCAAGGAGCCAGCCTGTGAAGGCAGCAACCAGTCTGAGCCAAAGGTAAGCAATGAGAAAAGGGGCCAGCACACTGCCTATTTAACGGGACAGATTATAACAAAGCATCACAGTTGTACGTATCGCAGTAGGCTATGCTGGAACACTAGTATCGCATTCGAAAAAAAAATCTTTCATTCTGCCATGCTAGCAACCGAATGGCAAGTGGTACTTGCATGTCCAAACTCTTTTTGGTCTTCGTGGCTGTAGTATGTATGTACCATATTCACTTGCAATGACCTCCCCCCCCCCCCCCATGTTCCGCCGCGGTAGTCTAGTGGCTAAAGTACTCGGCTGCTGACCTGCAGGTCGCAGGTTCGAATACCGGCTGTGGCGCTGCATTTATGATGGAGGCGGAAATGTTTTAGGCCCGTGTGCTCAGATTTGAGTGCACGTTAAAGAACCCCAGGTGGTCGAAATTTCCGGAGCCCTCCACTACGGCGTCTCTCATAATCATATTGTGGTTTTGGGACGTTAAACCCCACATATCAATCAATCAAATCAAATGAACCCACCCCCCAACTTGGTCGTCAAAAAAAGAAAAAAGATTTAAATCTATCCGCTTTATTTCGGTATGATAACCAGTGCCGTTGACGATCGAAACAACGTTAAATCAAGCCATTGTATCGCAAAATAATGATGCAATAAAAGTCATAACTTAATTTAACAACTGGGAGCAGCTCGAGCTCGGACGACGTCAATCAAAATTTAAAAGCCTAGCCTTTTGCGGCAGAGCACCATCTGTCAAATTCAGGAGAAACCTCTTTGCTTATACAGTAAAAGCTCGTTAACTCGGATTTCACGGGACCGGAAAAACTGTCCGAATTAACAAATGAACAGGGAAAACATTTAAAATCAAGCTGCAGAAGCATACCTTTATTTGTTGAAGTATTTTGTAATTGTCGTCTGCGTTTTCGCGCAGATTCCGGCTGACATCACAATTTTTCTTAAGTGTTCCAAATGGCCAACAGCACGCAAGCTGTCGGGAGTGTTCAGGCAAGCGTCCTCTAATATTAACAGCGCCTCCGAGACTTCCTGTGAGGTGCGATGAGGTCGCGGCTGTATCTCCTCGCATGATTCTTCGTCGGAATCGTGGTCTTCATGGGCCTCCGTGACATCATTAATAATCTCTTGATCGGTCAGGAGACCACTCGTGGCAACACCATGATAAATCGCGATGTAGTCCTGAAAGGTCACATCAGTGGGAAGGACAGCATCGAAAGTCAGGTAGTCATTGTCGGTGGACTCGGCTGCCACCTCCTCGATGCCATCGTCAGCTACTGCTGCATGCTCGGGCCTCACAAAACCGCTGTGCCGAAAACAGTTGGCGATGACTTGCGGCGGAGTGTTTTTCCACACGTGGGCGATGATGTGCACTGTGCCGAGTAAGTCCACTTGATACAACTTTCCAGCTTCTGAGCATAGGATCATTCGCCCTAGCAGGTGCTTGCGGTACTTCGACTTCACGTAGTGAATGATACCCTAATCCATCGGCTGAAGAGCAGACGTAGTGTTGGGGGGCAAAAAAACTTTGATGCTCTTCAGTTCGACTGTACAGTTATGGGCACTGCAGTTGTCAACAACCATAATTATCTTGCGGTCCTTCGACGTGAAGTGCCGGTCCAACTGCTGCAGCCAGCCGCGAAAAATGTCCGATGTCATCCATGTCTTCCTGTTCGCTGTGTACTCGACAGGAATGCTTTTGACGTTTTTAAAACAAGGTGGCTTAAGCGCCTTTCCGACGACAAGTAGTGGCAAGCGCTCCGTGCCAGTCATATTGGCGGCAAGAAGCACAGTTATCCTTTGCTTGCACTTCTTGCCACCAATGCACGCGTCCCCTTTGAAAGTCACCGTCTTGTCGGGCAGAGCTCTGAAAAATAGAGCAGTTTCATCTGCATTGAACACGTCACGTGGTTCATATGCGGCGATGTGCTCGAGCAGCTTCACATTTCTCCACTTGGTGGTCACGCTTTCGTCAACACTGGCCTTTTCGCCGCACACACTCCTGAAGACAAGTTCGTGTCTCTCTCGAAACCTCGCAAACCACCTTTCTGACGCTTTGAACGATTCAATGTTCATCATTGCAATGTACTTCTCACCTTGCGCCATGATGAGAGGTCCGCTCAAAGGCAGATGCGCGTTGCGACAGTCAGTAATCCACCGGAGCAAAGCTTCTTCGAGCTGGGGATGAGCTGCGGTTCGCAACCACTTTCTAGAGGCATGAAACTTCTCCCTTTCGAAGGCTTGTCGAATCTGTTGTTCATTCTTCACGTACGTTCCCAACGTGCTCCGGTTCATGTTGTATTTCGTCATAACCTGCTGTCGCGATTCGCCGTTCTGCAGTGCTTCCAAAATTTCCACTTTAGTCGCCAAGTTCTTCACGTCGTAGTTCTGCCGCTTTTTCGGCGTTGCCATCACTGTAGCGCACAATGGTGGTGGCATGCAAATACAGTCACAATGGAAGAAAAAGAGAACTCCGCAAGAAGAGATGGTTCCGACACGACAACGCAAGAGAAAATGGCGTCGGAGGCGCTGAGTGGAGAAGAAAGAAGACGCCGACGTTCGGTGACGCTGCGATCGCCCGCACTAGTTGATGATGATGGCGATGCCACTCAGGTTTCGGTTTCACTTCAGTGGTGCCAGCGCTGCTTTATCACACTTTTGTGTAGCAGCAGCCGTCAGCATTTGTCCGAATTAAGCGGTGCGGAGCCGAATTCCGACGAAATAACGAAGGTTTGGTCCCATATATTAACATGCACTTTAGCCGGGACCAATAGAGCCGTCCGAATTTCCGAATTAACGGGTGTCGAATTAACGGGTGTCGAATTAACGAGCTTTTACTGTAGCGCCACGCAAGCACAGTGGCAAGAAAAGAAAGTGCGTGGCCTCCGAAACGGCAAGCGTGCGGCGTGAAAACGCTCCACATGTCCGTCATCTCGAAGTTCGTGCAAAACGCAACTGCGCCAATGGCGTATTGCGCTCCCGCAATGTTTGTGTGCCGCCATCCGACGCTGCGGTTTTGTTGTCAGGTTCGTCGTAGTGAACTTAGTTGGACACCTGCTACGCAGGGTGCTTTCAGCTGGTACGCTGTCTGCACTGCTGGTTTTAAACTTTTAAGTTGGTCGAGCATGCGCTGGAGTGTGGGAACTAACCGGCTGGACGACACTGACGTTGATCCATGGGCAATCATTACGATAGAAAACAAGAAGAGCTTTGGGTTACGGAACTATTCGTTGTGCATTTTGCTGACCAAGACAAGCAAAACTGTCGTGCAAAATTTTCGCTGTTACAGTCGAGCCCGTTTAAAACGAACCTGAGGGGGACGCGCATCTGTTCGCTGTATCCCGAAGTTCATAGTAAATGGAACACAGCTTTTAAAAAAAGTTGCGAGTGAAAACGCAAACTTTTCTTGCCCCAAAAAGTCCGTGATGCACGTGTTTCGAAGAACAGAAGCGATAAGGGCGGTCTCTAGTTCATTTAAAAGGGCAGGGTGCTCGTTCTCCGAGGCCCGTGGCATAAGCTGCATGAGGCACTGGCTCCAAAGTTTCGTCGTTCTTGCAATTCGATTCCTCCAAATCCTCCAAATCCTCCAAATCGCTCTCGCCACGTACTTCATTCACAATGCCCCAATCTGTGCACAGTTCTGCAGTGTCGGCAACATAATCGGTCGTAATTAAACCATCGCAACATATGTCCCACCCTCTCTCCCACTCTCCCAGGTCGGAGTCGACGACGCACGGCCACTAATCGACGCCGCAGTTCGGAAGCTCATGGCTCAGCATCAGGCTGGACGTCGACGAAGTTGGCCTCGCGAAAACAGTTTCGCGCGCATGTAGTCGTCACCGTCGCCCACGAAATATTCACTATCTCCACAGCTGAATACAGGGAATTCCGAAGCGGCAAGTTGGCTGCCAGGTGGCCAACAGCTATGAGCAAGCGCTCCGCAATGCGGCACCTAACGCGCTGATTACGCTCAAGCCAGGCGGTCACACTTTTGACGTTTTATTGAGCGGCAAAAAAAAGCGTGCTAGTCGTCCCGTCGGCCATCATGACCACACACGCACACCAAGAGCGAGCAAGACGCGCACACGCGACGCACATGCCAGAGCGCGTGGAACAGCTCTGGGCCCGTTTCTAGTCGGAAAACGAAACTAATTTGAGCCAGCGTGGCGGGCGTCGCGGAGCAGTGGAGACGGTTGGAAGGGGTTGTGATTAAGAGAGGTGAGCAGACTTGCGAGAGAAGGGAAACGAGTTGCAATAAAGAGAGGGGAGGATGTGGCGGGAGGGCGACCTTGAAAACCAGTACACATGGGAAGAAGGCAGGTTGGGTAGCTTGCTTGAAAGGTTTGCGAAGCTCGCACGTAGAAAAACTTGGAAAGAGTGCATGGCCGCCTGAATCGGTGCGCGTGGCAGTCTTCGAAGAATCGGCGGCCGTGGTCATAAAATCATTTTGTTGCGCCAGCGGGTTTACGTGGCCTCACGAACTTCGACATATTGCGATTTGTTTCGCACAAATTTACAGCCGTTTTCGCGCTTCCACACGCACTCGGAGGGCATGCTTGGTTGAGTGCAAAGTAAGAGAGAAAAAGTCCTAAACACGAAACGAATCACAAATTATCAGAGTCGGTGAAGTAGCGTACGCACGTGCACTAGACGCAGACTATCGGATGAGGTGGGTGGCCGACGATGTTGGCAAATGGTCTGGTCACTCCAGGCCGGCAACGCCAACGACAGTACCAGCAATCAAAAACAGGGTAGATGGCCGAACATTCTTCGAAAGATCGGTGGCAGTGCGAAAACACGGGCCTCGTCTGGCGATGCTGGGTGCTCAGAGTAGCAGGGCGACAAAGGACGGAGGGGTGCGTAACAAAAAGTGGTCGGGGAGAGCGGCAACTAGGGGGGCGCGGAGGCAGGGTCGGCGTTTAACAATAAGAATGTATGGGCACCTTGCCGATGCCTGATTGGTGGTCGAAATCGGTTTCCCGAGAAGTTGGCAGACCGCTGACTCCGTTCGCTCTAACCGATCAGCGGCGCTCGGTTACAGCGATCGCACTTACAACGTTCGTTGTAAGTGCAATTTTGTGCCATTGAACCAATGTATATTTTCACGGTCACGCGGATATTGTTCGTTTTAAGCGAACGTTCGTTTTAAGTGGGGCCGTTATATGTGGGCTCAACTGTATAACTCCAGCATTATGAACCATCCCCCAAACTGACATCAACTTTTATGAAAAACAAAAAAGGTAGGTTCATTACGCGAGTAAATACGGTATTGACGAATATCGACCTCTGATATTCTTTCATTTCTCGGCAAGGTGTCCTTTGTACGGAGCTTTTATAACTTGCACTAGATTCTCTTTGCTTGGGCATCTTATGGGAACCTGCAAGTCTAGCCACTCTGGTGCACTTTCGCCTGGGTGCAGCATCTTTCCTGGAACCGCCTTGGTGGTGTCGCCTCAGAGGACGATGATGTTCAGGCGTATGACAATAGTCCGGCAAGCTTACGCCTAACCGCTTCGACTCGCTTTTGCGTTCGAGTGGCTTCCTTGTTGGCTGCTGCTTCTTGCCGCCAAAAACGTAAGGTGAGCGGGACGATTCACGCTGCGTTCGCGCTGTGCTGCACATAACGTTCCACCGACAGGCACATGCAACGATTGTGTAAGGCCCTGTGACAACGGTTGTAGTGGTTGGCTTTTGGATGACTCTTGTTTGATTCTTGGTGGTAGCACATGACTTCCATTTGCATGCTAACTTGTGTGCAGGCTTCATCGCCAGCAATACTTGCTGTTAAAGGGGGTGCTGACACAGAATTTCGGGGCCGAGATAGCCTGGGGGGTCGATTCTCGTGAACATCCGTATATGATCTGCAAGATATCAACAGCGAATATAGCTTGAAAGGTATTTTAAATTAATTTTGAAGTTTGCATGTGGGACCGACTCCATAGCGCTATAGACACCCTCGGAGGTGACCCCAAGGTGACCCCCTACTTCCCTCACGTCACTACGCTACGGCCGACAAAACAAGTTATGATGACATCATAGCCGCCATTTTTTTTTGCCGCGTTAGTTTCTGAAGTCTAGATTTTTCGGCGGCTTGTTGCGGGTGCGTGGCCATGGCGCATGCTTAGAAAGTTTTGTGTTTGGCAACATTCCAGTGCCGTTTCCTATTCGAAAGTAATTCTTGTTGCGGATCGTGCGGAAGTGCGTCGCAGCTATGTGCTGACGTGGTCAATAGTTGCACACGCTAGGTAGCGACAGTTGCAACCAGTTGTTTTAACTCTCTCAGACCAAAACTGAAACTGATCGGTAATCAGGGGTCTGCAATTATCTGTTGCGTGCTGCAGCAAACAATGTGTCGTGTCATGACTAACAGCCCTACAGCAACGCATTGCAGCAGAAAAACGAGAGTCCAAATTTTTTGTGTCAGTACCCCTTTGAGGCATATATCAGCTCTAAATTCCTGATAGGCTAAGCATTTACTATTCTGAAGTAAAGATGACTTACTTTCTTTTTTTTTTTTTTGTTCTGGTTACAAGTTTTACAGAGGCTATTCCTCTTAACTGCTAATGTATCTGCTGGGAGGTGTGAAGGTTTTGGTTTACGGAAGATGCGAGTTAAGCTTGAAAGACCTTTGGCTGTTTTAATTTGTATAATAGGACAGCCTTAGCTTTGTATTTACAGCGGTCTGCTACGGAGCACTTTGCCCTTGCCTGGTTCGTACGGATAGTTAACAGATGCCTTTGTAATAGTAAAAAAAAAAGCTTTAATAAACTGCAGGAAGTGTGGCATAGGCTTTGCATTTAAGTGGAATGTCAATATGATTGGTAATTATGGGAATAGCAAAATTAGTCTAGTTTCCTGTGATGCCTGTGCACATGAACTTTGCATTTCAGCTGGAGACAGTAGTGTGAGCTAATTTTATATTATTGCTTGTTTCATGTTTCAGCCTATTAAGTGCTTAAAAAATGCTGTTTTCTCACAGACAGGGGTCTCGTTATAAGCTATGGCAGAAAACCAGAATTCAGTAGTCTCATGCTCTGCCATGTGTTTTTTTTTCGTCCTTCTTTCTGTGTTTTAGGAACAGGAAGGTATCAAGCCGCGCATGTTCAAGACGCTGGTTGGCAGAAACCACCCAGAATTCTCAACTAAGAGGCAGCAGGATGCTCAGGAGTTCTTCCTATACTTCCTTGAGCTTGTTGAAGTAACTTTTTTCTGTTTCTCTCTCTCTCTTTCTTTTTACATGGCTCGCCAAAGAAACTAACTCTTGATTCAGTCTGCTGATACTAATTGAAACGTGGATAGTTTGGACAGCATCATTGCATTGTTATTGGTCTCATACGACAACTGAAATTTCCAACACCTTGGGACAAATAGCAAAAAATATCTAATTTGGGCAGTAGATGCAACCACACATGTATCGTTTTTGAAATAAAAAAGCTAACTATAACAAAACATAATAAACTAACCGCTCAGCCAAACTCTTCTTTTGTGAGTTTTGCGAGACCACACGCTAACAGCCAAGGGTCTCCATCAACCATAAGTGAATTATTTCATAAGTAAACATTTCTTTTACTTTATACTCAAGTTTTCGGTCTCATTCTTTGCATTAATTTCTGATTGAGAAGGTCGTATCTCTGAACAGCCAACTTATTGTACTAAATTATTTCTAATGTTGCCATGTACGAGTGGTACAAGTCTGTGTACTTCAAGTCTGTCTTTCTGGTAACAATATGGGTTACCTTATTCCATCAATTTCTACAGTTGTAGGCTTTGTTGTGAGAAATGTAATGCTGGTTAATGTTACATTTAGTGCTGATATGCATATACAGTGGATTTTCGATAAAATGGAAATCTGATAAACGGAACTTCTGCTTAAGTGGAACAACTGCCTCTGATATGGTTGGTTTCATTCTTGCATACTGCACTCCAGTTCATCCTCTCAGTAAATGGAACCCATGTAAACGGAACGCATTTTCCCGGTCCCTTCAGCTTCCGTTTAATGAGTCCACTGTATATGATACCGGGACAGTAAAAATTCTGTCGCTGCTTTTGCCTTAATGAACAGCAACTATTGGGTGCTGGCCGTTACACATTGGGACACATTTTGCAGAGGAACTGCCGCAACGAGGTGAATCCTGCAGACTGCCTGAAGTTTGAGTTGGAAGAACGCATCCGGTGCACACAATCTGGAAAGGTGCGCTACACTAAGCGCACGGATTGGCTGCTCCCTCTGCCGGTGCCACTTCATTGCGCGTTGAATAAGCGTGAGTGGTGGTGCCAACCTTTCCATTGCACCCGTGTTCAGCTTAGATAAAGTCATCCTGAGAGTTGATCTGTGAGAATTGATGCACGGTCAGTGCCGTCATGATCATTGTATTATTAAGAGTGATTGTTATTGTTTTTTGTGAAACATGACATGCAAACTGATCTTGTGATCGTAACAGTTGCGATAAACTGCTGTTTTGTGTATGCACAGCATGCTTCAGTGTGCTCCAATTGGACACGGCGGAAGAGTGTTAACAATAATAAGTGTTCTCTTCATCTTATTTTTCACTCATTGTTTGATGTGCAGAGGAAGTGGATGCTTACGAAAGCAAGAAAGAAGAGCTCCTAAAAAATAATGAAAGAATGTGAGTCTCATTTTTTGGATATTTCTTTTGTGGTCTCTAAATGTCAGTTACATGTGCAAACCTTCTTCACTGTTTTTCTCTGTTTCCTTCTCAACTTCCCTCTGCGTAGCGACCCTGAAACTATTGTCAGGTCAAAGATCCCACTCTCGGCTTGCTTGGAAACCTTTGCTGGCACCGAGCACATCAGTGATTTTTTCAGCACGGCCTGTGAACAAGAAAGTTACTGTAGAGAAGTGAGTACCCAGTTTACCAGAGCTCTGAGCAGACACTGATAGAGATGGTAATTAGATGTTAGCTAGTAAAATGCATGATTTGTGTGTGTGTGTGTTTGCACCTGTGAGAGAAAGTGAATGAGTGGGAATGTGAATGTACATTTCTTCAGAGAAACTACAGCGAAACTTCGATTATACATCTATGATTTCGCGACGAACCGATTTGGTCCTGGCAAAATCCCCATAGAAATAATGTATTGGAAACCCTGATTATACTATGCAGTTTTACGCCGACCCCACATCTTACGACTTTCAGATTCATTCCGAAAGAAAAACCACCTTTATTCAAATCAAACGTCAACCGAATATTCACGGGCGCTGAATATAAATTTGCAGTCCCTCTATGTGACGATTGTAAAAGTAGAGTGAAACGGCATGTCTTAGAATGGAAAATTTAGATGCGATCCCGCGTTTGGAATTCAGTCAAGGGCGTCTTTACTTGGCTTTCACTTGACTTGCCGCATTTCTTGACTCAAGTAGATGCGATGGAAGCAACAGTACCTTTAATTAGTAGTGGTGCCCAACCCAACACCAGCATCCCACCACTCATTGAAGGCAATGCTTCTCCCTCATTCAATAAATAAGAATAATAAAGATGAAATAACAAATGAGCATTCCCAAAAGATGCCCAATTATACAACATTCACGCGATACCCCCACCTCTTTGCGACGCATTTACTCTAGTTCCCCCCGTGGGAAGATGCAGGCGGCTTTTTTTTTCTCCTGGAAGTTCATGCGCTTCTACGTATGACTCGATTGTGTGAGTACATATCCAGGGTCATTACCTAGTCAAGCTCTGTCCACACAGAGTAGCTTCAGTCAGCCAAAAAGCCGATATTTTCGCGTTTTTTGTCTGTGGAAACTTTTCTTGGTCGACATACAGCTGATCTGCCTTAGTCGCAGTCACAGGCTTGCGCATGGATAGCTGTTTTCACTGTGCAAAATTACTTACACTTGACGTCAACGTTCACAATAACAGTGGGACACCACTAGTTGCCCTTCACAAGCCTACAAATTACAATGTGCAGATCTCAGTCGTGCACAAAAGCATTCTATGCAAACTCGTGGTCTGTCGCCATTATGCGATAGCAATGACACTGTGTCTGACCCGTGTGATGGTAGGCTGTTTGCAACGCGGCTTCGTTTTCGTTTTCACGGGCAGGCAATTTTCGGACCTTTTATTGGTAGGAAGATGCACTTTGGATTCATTTTTTTTTTTTTAAGATTAACAATAAAGATTTGCTTGCACCTCCTTCAACTAAGGTAATGCTGCTATTTGCTGCCACTGGCAAGAAGAATTTAATCGACCTGCCTTGCAGAGGCACAAGGTCGTGCTGTGGGCTTATACCAGTGGTCTGCACCCGCTTTTTGGGCAAGGCTGCGTGTCGCTGCCTATAATCTTAGTTTTTTGATGATACGACGTGTGGATTATGTGACGGTTCGTGTAGTACCCTGAAAGTATTATGATCGGGGTTAATACTTTTGTGTTTCCTGTCTAATGGGATCTGTCACATCAGCCATGCTTTCATTCTAATGATTGATCACCTCCATTAGCCTAATCACTTCATGTCATTCAATATACAACACCTGTTCTTAGGTGTAACGTAAGTGCTGATCCGTTAGATCAGATTGACGGCCATGAAAGTTTATGCCTGCGTATAAGCTGTAATGGCAAGTCATTTATTTTAATTGCGGTTTACAGGGCGCCTTGTGCTGATTCCTCCTTCTTGACTAAACTATATGATCATATAATCAGATTCTCTAGAAATAACATTATTATTGCCGAAGATTTCAACCTTCCAAATATTATCTGGCCCTCTTTATCTTCCCCCTCTTCCGATGACCACTTGGTTTTCGACATTATGCTTGCATGCAATCTTAACCAAGCCGTAAACATTCCTACGCGAGTACAAGGAAATTCTTCTTCAATTCTTGACCTTGTGTTTTACAGTGCCACCTTGTCTGAAACAGATGTTGCAGTGGTAGACGGTTTGTCTGATCATAAAATTGTAATTTTTACGTGTCAACTGGGTGGACGATTAGGGCATGATTCCGACAAAAAAACTGTAAAAGACTTCAGTAGGTCTAACGACGAAAGTGTTCTTGATTATTTAGACTTCGAACTCGACAACTTCGCCGATAACGATGTTAACTTACTATGGGACGAGTTCCAAACAATTTGCCATTTCTGCATCGATAACTTTATTCCCGTGAAAACGAAGAAGGTGCGCCGCGCAAACCCGTGGATCAATCGCGATATCATTCATTTAGTACGCAAGATCAAAAGGTTGAAAAAACGTAAGGTAAACAATTCGTTATCCAGAACCCTGCGCCAAACACTAGTGGATAAAATTCGTGCGAGTAAGCAATTTTTCTATTCCACCACCTTGCCTAATTTTATTAAAACTAATCCTTCGAAATTCTGGCGTCACCTAAATGCGAGAGGGCGTGACGACATTAATAGCATAATAATAGGAAATCAAACTATAACCGATAAACAGCTGATTGCAAATGAATTTAAATGTTTCTTTCAATCCGTTTATTCTGATTCAGTGCCTTGTAATGATATTGGAGAGATACGTAATGTAACCGGACTGAACTCTGACTTTATCAGTTATGAAGGAATAGTTGCAATGTTACTTAATCTTAAATTGAAATCCTCTGTAGGCCCTGATAAGATTCCAAACATGTTTCTCTATCGGTATGCCGAATCCATAGCTAAATTTCTAGTTGTTATATTCCGTCTTTCCTTTTCTAAGGTGTTGTCCCCGCCAAGTGGCGTATTGCACGTACAGTTCCTGTTTTTAAAACTGGCGATCGAGCCATCGTTACTAACTATCGCCCTATTTCGCTTCTCAATTCCTGCAGCAAACTCATGGAGCATATTATTTCCAACTACCTGGTCGACTTTTTAAATTCCCGCAATATTTTAACACCCTTCCAGCATGGTTTCCGTAAGGGCCTATCTACTACCACTCAACTCGTTTCTATTGTGCATACCTTTTCTTCAGTTCTCGACAAGTCCGGCCAAGTTGACGCAGAATTCCTAGATCTAAGCAAAGCATTCGACAGGGTTTCACATTCAGGTCTTCTCTATAAACTTAATACACTTAATGTCCCGCATCTTCTAATAAAGTGAATTGCCTCATACCTTGAACATAGAAAACAATTTGTTGGTGTCGGTGGTCACGTTTCAGATCTTGGATCAGTTAACTCCGGAGTGCCTCAGGGAAGTGTCCTGGGGCCTTTATTATTTCTGGTATATATAAACGACATAACCTCTTGTGTGCACGAAAGCGTTGCTATTCGTTTATTTGCGGACGACTGTCTTCTGTACAGAGCTGTTGAATCAACTAATGACCAAATTACCCTCAACGACAGCCTGAATTTAATATCTAATTGGTGCGACACTTGGGGAATGAAGCTTAACCGAACTAAAACGGTGTACATGCGCATAACTAATAAAAAATGTCCTCTTATGTTCAATTACTCTGTAAAGGGAGTCGAAATTTCTCAAACCAATAGCTTTAAATATCTCGGCTTAACATTTACAAATAATCTAACCTGGTCAATGCATATCGACAAAATCTGTGCATCAACTCGGCGTAAGGTCGGCCTCTTACGTCACAAACTAAAAAAAATCCCCCTCCCATGTTAAACTTCTTGCATATAACACGCTAATCAGGCCTCGTCTTGAATACGCGTGTATCGTTTGGGACCCGTTCACTAAAAAGACATTAACAAACTTGAACAAATTCAGAGGCTGGCTGTACGGTTCATATATAATCGTTACCGCCGACATGACTCGCCTACCTCTTTAATGCAAACAAACAACATCATGACTTTACAGAGCCGCCGTAAAATAACAAGACTAAAATTTCTTCATCAGCTTTGGAACCGTGAACTTGCACTCGACCCCGCTCCTTATCTAAACCTTTTGCCCCATAGACCCACCAGGAACTTTCACCATTTTAAATTTAACTCGATTTTTGCACGCACAAACATATTCAAACATTCCTTTTTCCTGCGCACCATAAGTGATTGGAATGCCTTACCATCTGAAACCTTCTTATCAAATAATGTTCTTCAGTTGTTTAACCAGCTTGCAGAATAAATTTGTAACGGTGCCTTTATCCTGTGATTGGTTTCCCATATCTAGTTGTGTAAAATCTGTGCTACGCTACTGTTATGATCATTGCTGCCTTGCTTCGTTTTTTTTTTTATGTGCCATATGTCTGATATATGCACTGATTAGTCCTCTCCTGTTCTCTGGTGTTTTCTTCGATTGTTCATTGCTTATTTCTTCTTGCTCTCAATTTGTATTTCTTTTTTTGTTTAAATCTGGTTTTCATCATTGATATACAAACAAACCACTCCTGCTTGGGCCGCCCTAGGCCTGCAGTATTGTATAAATAAATGAATAAATATGCAAGATGTTTTCTATGAATTAAAAATGGCATTTCATTGTCTTCTTGGCAGGACCACCAGGCTTCGCACGTTCCCCGATTACCTGATGATACAGCTGAAGAAGTTTGAGCTCGCTCAGAACTGGCTTCCAAAGAAGTTAGGTACGAGAATACCCAAGTTTCTTTGACGTCTGTGGCAGCTTCGAAAAGAAAAGCTCTGTTTGTGCTTTGAATATTGCTAAGATTACCGAACAAAAATAAACGCAAGACTGTCTCTGTCGCTTGTTTCAGATGTTGAAATGTTAATGCCTCAGCAGTTAGATCTGTCTTTCTTGCGGGGAAGTGGTGTGCAGCCCGGAGAAGAGCTGTTGCCAGAACCTCAGGAGACTAATGAAGGCTCTACACAGAGTGAGTGGTGTGCTTCTTTTTTGCAAGAGTCTTTTCGTCAGTATAACCCACCCCTGCACGCAACTAAAAGCCCGATCATCAAAACGCTGGACAAATAAATATTAAAAAGAAAGCTCTTGTGTATTGCCGTGAAATCTCTTCCTTGCATTACTGCGGACAGAACGCGCGTCGAACGCGTGTACCGAAATTCGTGTGTTACCTACATGCTGATTTTAGGTCCACATATTCTGTACATCTTATGCAGGCTCTGCGTGAGGAAACACAGGATTTGAATTTAATGGTTTCAGTTTGGTGTGATGTCATTCTACTTATTAATCCGATGACAATGGAGGGTCACGTCGTGTTTTTACAGTGAAAGCTGTCGTGAGATCAGTTTTAGTGGCGTAGTCGTTCGTGGCAGGCCACTGGTGTCCGTAACTGCTATCGCGTGAAATCAGAAAAAAAAAAAAGATATCCAGGATCAAATGGGATTTCAATCCGTGCCCTCTGCACGGCAGAAAAGTATTCTGCTGCACAACCACACTGATTCTTGAAGCTCTTTTGCAAAAAGATCCTATGCAAGCGTTGCGTTGGGTAAGATAGCATGTTAAGTTATGTAACGTAGTGTGATAGGAGATTAAAATAACAGGGGTCACAGAATGTGAATAGTGTAATGAGTGGTTCATTTATGTTTCGAACACATTACAAAAAGTTCAGCCATTATTCTCTGCAGCATCAGCAAAGTGCACGTAATTCCTTGCAGATGTGTAGTGGTTGCTTGCCTACTTCGTAAAAATTATAATTTATGGCGTAGTGGGTACCTTGCAAATGTACGTCTAGTAGTCGCTCCGGGAGAGTTTAGAATGGGCCCTTGATATGCTGCTCTTCCAGCTTACACTGTTGCTGTGCTGCGTGTCTTGTGCAGGCCTGGCGTATTTGTTGCTTCCGAAAGGCATCACGGATATGAATCAGCAAAATGGTTAGTTTTGGGATGCCATGGGCCACTATACCGTAGTGGTGGTTCTCAAGCAATCCAAAAAGTGCAGCATGTCAAGCACAGGAGACTATGCAATAAATGACATGTTGTTTTAGTCCATGAAGAGCAATGAAAATATGCTTTGAGTTCTAAGATGGTCGACAGTAAATGTGGATTGGTTTTCATTCTGTGAAGGGAAACTCTGGCAGCTTTTGATCATTTATTATCGTTGACGCTAATTGAATGTTCGTTGGCAAGCATTATGTAGAAAGTTTGCCCTGCCAGCCATTACAGATTCGTACCAGCTTAACTGGGTTACAGGCAGAGTTTTTGAGACGACCCAAAAAAGGAAAAAAAGTGCTTCTGAATTTCATTTCAGGTAAGCATCCCTGTGTTGGTTTAGATTACTTGCCCTGAGAATTTATTCTGTTCTTCACAGAGTCAATAATAGCTTTTCTTCTTTCAAGTTCGGGTCACAGAGAGTGAGCTCTGCGTGACACGAAGGATGAATCCTTGGACAAGCGGCAACATTCTTTCTTGCTGACTCCAGTCGCCTGCTAGACATTGGTCTTATCAGCAGAGTCTCTTTTCTGAACAATGTCAATTGTTTGCAAAATAACAAAGCTTTTGTGTTTAGTCCTACTGGTTCTGCGGAAAGTTTTGTGACTGAAACCCCAAATCGTATGCTGACGCACGGAACGCGCGCCACAAGATGTGGAGCTATATTTGGCAACGATGTACACATAAGTATGGCAAACGAAACAGCCATGTGGTCAGGTATAATTTCTTGTTTTTTTTTTTTTTATTTGGGTGGTTGTATTCTGTGTCCTTTCTTAACCCTTTTGCCACCTTGTGGGTTTCCACAGAATTCATATGCAATACTTGTTTGTGTGCTTCAAGTTCTCGATGAATTCACCCTGGCATTGTCAATTGCTAGCTTCTTGTCTAGCTCAATTGATAGAGCAATCACTTCGGAAAGGCTTTGGTCCCGGGTTCGAATTTTTCGGCAACTAAGAAGCTTTTCTTTCTGAGAAATGCGTACTGATTTCCTTGTGGCTTCATGCTACAAACGGGTGGTTGTGTTTTTTCCCTTTCTTAGATAAAGTACAATATTTCTCGTTCCTCATTGAGGTTGCACGAGTGTAGTCGACTGTACCGTGTATTCAAAAAATCCTTGTCTTTGCAGCTGTGGAACTAAATAGGGCCTGGGTGGACCAGCTTGTAGACATGGGCTTTCCACTGGAGGGGTGCAAGAAGGCAGTGTTCTTCACACAGAACTCCAGCATTGAAGCTGCCACAGAGTGGGCCATGGATCACATGAACGATCTCGGTTAGTGGCGCAGGCTGTTGATCCTCCAACGACCTGCTTCAATTTTTCTAGCGAAATTTTCATCATTGCACTGGGGCCTAGTATTGAAACAAACATAGCATTCCTCTTTTTGCTGTAGTGGTTAAGTTTTTGGCAAGCTTAGCTGTGTTCTAGCTGAGCTTTGTGCACGTAGAAGTGTACCACTGGAAGACCGAAATAGTTGAGCTGCAGTAACTGTGCAGGTCACGACACTAAAAACCAGCCTGTGGGCTTTGGGTTTATGGCACAGTCGTTTAAGTTTATGGTGTAATTTGTCAAGAGCAGAGGGAACGATTTCTAACTGACTTTGAGGCTTAATTGCGATTTTCAAGCCGCGTTACGCGCTTTAATGTGTTTGGTTCATGTGTTCTCGCGAGCCTCGACTACCAATCGGCCGCGTTTTCTCACCGAGGTGAAAATGTTTTGTGGGGCCCTATTCAATGTCGAAAGTTGTGACATTGATGGTCTGCTTACTGCAGTTCTTTGTCATCGGTAATTTGTTTCGTGTGTTTTTTTTTTCATCGGAGTAATAAGTGCCTATTGTATTTCCTGCATAACCATCATTTTTGCTCTACATACCTAAATTAAACTTAAGAAACTCTTTTTACCTTTTATGTTGCTCCTGAAGACTTCGGAGCACCTTTCGTGCAACCCGGCACATTTCAGGCAGATACAGAAGCACTGGCAACAATAACGAGCATGGGTTTCTCCCAAGATCAAGCGCTCAAGGCTCTCAAGGCTACGGTGAGAATGGCCTTTACTTGTTTAGGAGACATTACTGCGATGTGTTGACTGTTGCATTGACCACTACAGTCTCTGATTATGACAAAGTTGCATCATACCCAAAAATAAGTTCAATATGAATGAAAAATTCACTATAAAGCTTATTTATAACACCATCTATTGCAAGACTATTTTTTATTTACTTTGTTATAACTGATATTTTCTTATATCAGTGGCCGTTTCATTGAGGTTATAGTGTATTTTTCTTGTTGACGTTTGAAAGGACTTAGGAGGAGTGTGTGGCCGATATGCTCTAGTGATTCATTCTACTTGCTTTCTTGCTACTCCTATTGTTCACCTTTCATTCTCGGCTGACGCTGTTAACAGGGTGGACGTTCACTCTAACGACCGGCAAGGTATCAAAAAAGTGAAATTAATGCCAGAAACGGCATCACCATGATATGGCAGGCTTCGAGTAAATTCGTTATATGTGTGAGCATTAACGATGCTTCCAGTGTGTTAACTATGCCACCTTTTAATGACTCTTGCAGTGATCTACAATTGCTGCCATAGCTTACATGGTAGAGCATTGTGCATGTAACACTAAGGTTGTAGGTTCATTTGCCACCAGTGTTGAGCTGTTTCCTTTTTTTTTTTCATTTCAGTCAATTTTCTTTTATCTCGTAACTACACAACTTCAGTTGGGAACTATGATTAGGACCCTGTATACGTTTTATAGCTTGATTGTATGCTACAAAGAAATTCAGAACATGTGCAATAACAAAAATATAAAGTTTCTATGCCATTTACATATAAAATTTACTTGGGATGCAAATCACCTGCCATAGTATTTGTTCATAATTTGTGACATTTTTGTGCAAAACGTTGACTGAAAGTTGTAGTCAAAATACTCCATACTTTGTGTGTGAGTATTGCAGCGATTATCAGTGCCTCAGGATGTGCATAAATGTACTTATTTTGTACGTGTGCATATGCAGCTGTCTGCAAAAGGCTGCCACATTTTCTCATGTGCACGGGTAAAAATAGCAGTATTTTATGAAATGGATGTCATGATGCTGACAGTTCGGTTAACGAGCTTGCCAACAGATCATAAAATGTGATCACAAATTTAAAGCACCCAGATGTGCCATGTGAATACAACACTGAGATACCACTGTGCAGCCATGGCCAACAAAGGGCTATGTGAATTATGTGGATCACGTTTACCCCAGTTTTTCGCTCAGATATCTGTGCTTGTATGAAGGGTGGCCCTTGTGTGAAAATATGTGGCATTGAGGATCTACAGAAGGCTTGCATCTACAGAAGGCTTTCCGAGTGTGCTGCACATCTGGAAGTTATTGCGAGTTGTGCTTGATCAAGACACATTTGTATTGTAGATGTTGCAGCTATTTCAAAAAAATTCTTTTGTGTCCTTTAGGATAACAATGTTCAGAGGGCCATGGACTGGATCTTCAGCAGAGCGGATGACATGCAGGTAGAGAGTCAAGAAGTTGCCATGGAAGCCGAGAGCCCGGGCCCTCGCATAAAGGATGGTCCTGGAAGTATGTGCTTCTATCATTACGAGTCGTTTGAAAAATCAACTTCAGGGATGGGTGAATGGTTCATTTGTAATTCAAAAGAAATGGTGATTAGGTCGAATAATATTGAATCAAATAGCTGAAATAGTATATATTGCATACACATATTATAAAGCTGGTGATTTTGGTCAAGACCCAACAAACTTGCACTTTATTATTTAGAATGAGAACTACGCTTGTCCAGATGTCACATTTTTGGTTTGAAGTACAAGCAACTTTGAATAGTAGCAGGATTGGGATAATCGTAGGATGCAAATGATATGCAGTGACATTGTTTTGCAGTTTGCTATATTTTCAAGGTCGGATATACCCAGATTACCTTACTTTCTTGAAGTTGAAAAGTGTGTTATACGAGCTTATAAGCTCTAATATTATTATCATCATCATCATCATCATCAGGCTGACTGTACTGCGGGGCAGTCAGGCTGAGGATGATGATGACTTTTAGAGCTTATAAGCTTGTATAACACACTTTTCAAATTCAAGAAAAATAATTTGGGTATATGTATTTGACCTTATAATTGCATCTTCACGACTATGCTGGTTTACCCTGATAAACTAGTTTCACTGTAAGATGGTTGCACAATGCAGTTAAGCCACATTTTCAGGGATTACATTTGATAATTTTTTATACGTCAAATTGTTTATTTTGAATACTTAAAAGAAATTTCATATTATTGAAATTCGTTTTGATTCAAACTCAAGTACTTTAATACTCGTTTGATTATTCGAAATGCTAGAATAGTCGCCCATTCCTAATCATATTAAAGGGGTCATAATCGTTTTTATCATTGAATGACCTCAAGTATCTGTGTTTATTGTCTCGCGAATCGATTGCCGCGAAAAATTCTCAGATTCAGCAAAAATAAGTGACGTTAGGCTGGTTTTTCGTGTGTTTCAAGTGCTTTTTCTTTTCTCTAGTCCAGACGAGCACTTTTGACACTAAGCAGGGAGGAACGCTAAAAGAAAATAAGCTTTAAGTCAGTGCGTGTCACGTCCTTGAGCGCGTGTGCCGAACCGTGACTGCTTTCGCATGTCGTTATTTGCGTACGTGAGTGTGACTCATTACATAATGTTTTGGAGTGCTGCGCTGGCGTGTGGCAGCACCCCATGGCAGTAAGCGCATGTGATCCAAATGCCACACTTGATTCATGTTGGCCATTAGTTAGTATGTGGCATGCCAAGCAGTGGGGTGCCAGCAGCTCTAAGGGAGTGTGGATGGTGCTTTGTATTAAAAGAGAGGCAGGGCGCAGAAGCAAGTTACGGAAATATGGTTCGCAAATATAGTGCGTTAATATCGTACTGCTCCTTTTTCTCACTCATTGTGCTTTTGCTGCTATCAATTCCAATAAGCGTACACCGACAGCACAAATTCTTTCATCAAAAACTACCACGGGGTTGCCACGCCCCATCGTTGCCTCTCAGACTATGCATTGTTAACGAGGAACTTGCCATTCGAGTGATGCACTGTCGCTAAAACTGGCGGTGTCTAAAGCATAGAGAGCAACGAAGGAGGATTGGCACCATATATATGTGCATGCCATATTTCTGTACCGTATTTGCATAACTTAGCGCTGTGCTTGTAAGCCCTTCTTAGTGCACACAACTGCAGGATTAGGGCGAGATTCACGGCATTGTCTAGTATCGGCAGGGTGCGATTTCTCGCCAAGCCCAAAGGGTGGTTCACGACTCTACTTGAATCTGTGCAGATTATCAGCTGGTGGCATTCATCAGCCACATGGGCGAGTCCACCATGGTGGGTCACTACGTGTGCCACATATTCAAGGACGGCCGCTGGGTCATCTTCAACGACAACAAAGTGGCCCTGTCTGAAAACCCGCCCAAGGAGTTCGGCTACTTGTACCTGTACCGGCGTGTGCCAGACTCATGACTAGACGGACCTTCCTCACCGAAGCGAGCCAAAGTCGAGGAAAATACCGCAGCGCCTGTGTCACCATCGAGCAGCGTAGCTTGATTTGCAGGCCTGCCGCAGTACCTGTCCTCTGGAGCTATTGACTTGGCCTGTGAATTCAACAAAATTGTGTTTAGTGCAGTTTGATTTCTGTGTTGCTTTGCTATCATGCACTTCCTTTTGCGTTGTTCCTACTATTTTTTCACATGGTTGAATGTTTGAGAGTTTCTTCCTAATATAATGAATACTGTGTCAAAAATTATCACAGTTTAATCCATTCAGCTTTAAGAATAGTGCCTTTGTAATGCTTTGTGTTGCATCAGGTATACCTTTTTTTTTCTGTAACAGCAGTGTTGAGGAAGCTTTGGCTTTCTTCTATTGGTATGTGTGGATTGGTTTTTTCTTTCTTGCAAGCAGTGTGATGAATATTCATTGATAAAGCCCACTTTTCAGAGATTTGTTTAGACAAGCTTATTACAAAGAATGCAGCACGTATGGTGTTTTGTATGCTATGTGGTTACAGGGCTGCTTGTGCCTTTTCAATATGTTGTAGTTCGGTTGGAGAAACAAGAGAGTGTACTAATTTTGTGTATAAGCTACTGCGCTTCGAACAACACTCGATTAAGTCTCGAAGTGGTGAGCTCGCACCTTTCCTACACTTGTACATACACCAGTGTACGGCCATTGTCACTTTCGGTTTTGTATTCTCATTGTTTACCTTCAAACATTGACCACAGATTGTCGTGGTATCTGTTTTTCCATCACCGATGAATAGTAAAACATTACTTTCTACAAGATCTGCTGCTACATTCAAAGTTATTTAAGGTAGACATCTTCTGTTCTCTTTTTTTGAATAAACCAATCTTTTCACTCTATTCTGAATATGTGCGATTTGAGTTCCACATGGCCCCAAAGTCCAAGGAGTAACCAAGATGGTACATCAAGGTACGTTGCCAAGATGGTGCAGTTATCTTGAGACAAGCATTTTTAGTGGAGCAAATGCAGCAACGGGTATGCAGCTGCGAAAGAAGATACAAAAACACCCACACTGTCGCTGTGCGAGAGTCTGTGCAACCTTGCCAGCATTGCACTGGTTTACCATACAGTCCTCTTTTGTTATGACGTAACTTCAACAAACATCATCGCGCATTTTTGAGATATTGAGTCTAGTTTTCACCATATTTGTCACTCTGTCATATGAAAACCCAGGAGGCATCTGTTGGGAAAACAAAGTGGTGGTGCCCATCATCTGTCTGTCTGCTAGACAAAAACCTTACTGCGCATGACAGGTCACATTGTATACCAAACAGTTATATGTATCCCCACCTTTACTTCATCAAATGCAGTTAATGGCTCTTCTCTGTACAATTTTGCAGTTAAAGACAAACTACCTTGATAGCCTTTGCACAAAAACATAGGCTATCAATAACGCACCTTAACTAAGATGCTTCCTTTTTGATGTTGGTCCCACAGTACAGACGGCCCTCTGCATCAAATGTAGGATTGGCCCACTCTAGTTGGTGCAGCAGTCCTCGAGTTGTAGCAAAGTAAGCTAATCTCGGAGATAGTGTTTTTCGGGCTAAAATCCAAATCTTTGTTTTTCAATTGAGCAAGCACTTCTATGTTGACTCAATGAGAAAAAACTGTCTTTCTGTCACTCTGCCACTAATAGTAAATCTTGGAGCTTTACGTCCCAAAACAATATAACTACGGAAGACGCCCCAGTGGAGGAGTCCATGGATTCCCTCCATTATCAAGAGGCTCGCTACCACCAAGAAATAATAAAAGCAAATTTCATAGGAAGGACCATGCTTGAATCCGTGTTCAAAACAAGTGTCTCGGCCACTGAGATACTTCCCCATGTTTCAAAAATGTGAATATATATAGGCCGTATAAATGCGTTTTGCCCAAGGTGCGAAGCGTATGTCAAAGTGGAACACTTTCTGTGAAGCCTATATTTTGTTGAATTCCGCGATGCTAGAATAAAAGCCACCCGCAGGACAAAATGCAAAGCCAACATGGAGGATTATGCAAATAAGGAAAGCTCTAACTTTGCAAAAAAAAAAAAGGCTCTGGCTTAACTCGGTTATGCCTGAGTGTGCGTAGTCACACAGGTACAGTTGACCTTATCGGACATATTTAGTTGAACGTTCACAGAGCTACTGCGGACGCCTAACTAAATTTGTCTATTGTTTAGCTTGGTTCTCTGTATGGTTATGCTTCTCGAGGCCTGCGGCTCGTTCTTCTTCAGTCTCCTCGGCTCGCTGTCTTGGTCTCGCTCCGACGATGAAGCCTGGCTTCTTTCAGTCTCTCTTACTCGCTTTCCACATCTGCAGACAAATCCCGCGGTGCCGCCCCCTCTATAGGCACGATGCAACAACGGGTCCTTCTCTGTGAAGTCTTGAACAGCGCGATTGAGCGCGGACAGGGCAGACCCCACACGCGCACGCACACGTCCACCGCTGACTTCCAACTGCTCACTAGTAAATGCTACCCATAAAAACAAAAAAACAAAAAAAATCACAGCATATCCACGGAGTGAATGATGATTGGTGGGGCGCAGCGTTCGTCAGTCTGTCTGTCCATTTGTTCTTGCGTCCGCCTATCTGTGTGATCCTTGGTGCATCCGTCCGTTTGTTCATTCGTCTGTCTGTCCGTCCTTGCGTGTGTCAGTCTGTTCGTCCGTCCACATGTCTAGTGAAAACTCCAAGCACAGCCATCTCACATCTTTTCATCATGTATTCATCATATACAAGTGCCCCCATCCAGCAGACATTGTAAGGACCGCTATTTCGGGTATGTGCCACTGATTGTTACGTACTACGAGGGACGCACAAGCCACGCCACAAGGAGCTTCGCCCCTAAAACCTCCACGCTTACTCATCACATGGACAACTTCCTACTGAGATCCTGCGTAAGTTATAAAGGCGAAGGCCTTATTGGACGCCTCATCGAACGTGACAATTGACCCTCGTTTCGCGGTGTCATTCGAGGGACGCAAACATCATCGTGTGACGTCGTGATGACGCCGAATGACAATCGATTGGCGGACTTATCATGGTTGGAGTGCAAAACAAGGCGAGCTGCAAAAAACATGCAAATGCTGCTTTTTTTTTTCTAGTTACGGCGAGCGCAAGCCATGGCTGCCCGCGGGCAGCGCGTGTTCTGGCTAGTTGTTTTTTATTGAAGCAGCCATCTTGCCAGTTACGTCTCCCCGCCGGCTCAGTTCTTCCTAGTTGAAGACCTTTTGTAGCACGTGACAATATATATATATATATATATATATATATATATATATATATATATATATATATATATATTTCGTTGATTAATTGAAAGAACTTTATTGTGATTGAAATCACAATACATGGACTGAGAAGGCAAACTGGCTGCCTTTTGTTCTGACCCCTTTTCAGTTTGACCTAACGGCAACAGCGTCTCTAGCTGTAGCTCAGGCTCAGGTACCCATGGCTCTGGACGCCTTTACGTTCGCACACTCTTGCGCTGAACAAATTAAATCTTGGCAGGTGAATAATCGGTATTTCATTTACGGCCATCAGTGAAAGAACAAGGCAGATATATTGGGATTTCAAATTATGCACATGAAGTGGTGCAGTCACACAGGTTTTATTATTATTTTAGAGCATTTACCTAAAGATATACCATACGCAGCGCGTTTTTTTTTTTTTTTCCCAAGTCAGAACGACGACTCACTGACAAGTTTTCTAGACGTTCTTGGCACAAAAACATAGGCTATCAATAGCGCGCCCAAAGCAAATATGCTTCCTTTTCGGTGTTAGTTCCACACTGAAGTGCGGTTCAACAGACAGCACTTTCTTGCATTACCTCGAACAATCCTAAAATTTCCATCTTCTGGGCCTCCAGTTTGCGTACGTCAGTTCAGATTCGCTACGTCGCGACATTACGCTATAGAATGTTTTAAACGCCGTATCAAGGCGTATATATAATGCGATTGATGCCAATACTTTAAAATGTACGGGAGACCCGCGAATGCTGGACCAGCTTTTAGCGAATGCGTATTCTGAACCCGCTATTTGTGAGCAGCGCTGAGCCGTTTAGGCCATGCTAAACTTCTATTAACCATTTAAAACTCATTCATGCGTCTGCGTTGGATATGTACATCATTTCTCAGCAGCTAAAAAAAAATCAAGATCCCAAATCAAAATAATGCTTCCTGCTGTCGTTAAAGGGGCCCACAACACTTTTTGAGCATGGTCAGAAAACGCTGCCATTCGGTTGTAGTGGCTGCCGAGAACACACGAGCTAAATGTTATAGCGAACTTCGCGGCCTGGAATTCACACTAAATTATCAAATTTAGCTAAAACTGTTTTCTCTTCTCTCGACAAACGATGGAAGACGCCCAAAAATCGCTCGAAAGAGGCCATCTATCAGCCATTGGCTGATTTGAACATGGCGCGCTTGGTCGTTACTGTGATCGCCGCGGGAGGCCGCGACTTGTCCTCGCGCGCACGCGCGATCACACTAAAAAAAAAAAAAAAAAACCGCCTATTCGAGGAAAGACAACAGTGCTCAAGGCCACGAGGTGTGGTTGACGTTTTGTTTTTCTTTTTTTGTACCTCTGTCATTTCTCTTCGCTTAGCTTCCAGCGCTTTCGTCGCGACGAGAGAAGAGAGAATGCGTTTGCAGTGTGCGACAAATCCTTGTAACTCCGCTCGTACTGGATGGATTTTTAAAATTTTAGCGGCGTTCAATTCGTGAGGCAAGAAGTTCTTGTAGTGAAACTGAAACCATTTCATGGTTACTTGAAAAAACTGTTTCAGTGTTTCAAGGCCGTGATTCTTGAACGCAACAAATGTTAATAATCTGGAACGAGCGATTCGATAATAAGGGTTTTTTTACATGCACTATAACAACAACATAAGTGGGAGCTGGTTTTGGGTTGCTCTGGACTCATAAGTCTGCTTTGATATCCTGTTGAGCAACTTTCAGTTCAATAACGCATTACCGCTGCATCAGCTGCATCTCTGCCTGTAAAGGGTGCTCAGTTAAAACATATCAGTATTGCGGAGAAGTTGTTTTCAGGCGCGTGCAAACGCGTTTTTGTAAAGGCCTATGCGAACAGCATTTTTTTAGCTTTATATTTGTGATGTACCAGGCCAACGAAGTGATCGGCCGCAAGAATGTTCGAGTGCAAACCAGACAAACACAAACTAAATAAACAATGTTCCAAAAGAGGAACTTAAAATCTATACCTCTAGTACCAAAGCCTGAGCTACAACTCGTTAATAAATCACAGCATATCCATGGAGTGAATGATGATGAATGAGGAGGCGGGTTAGGTTTCCTGTAAGTTTCATCGCAGAAAGACTGTTCACTCGATCTGCGCTCGAGCGTTGCGAGTGGCGGAGAGGCTGAAGGGAGAGATGACACGCGGCGAGCGGCGACAAGCTAGGGAGAGTGACGTCAACGCGCGTGCACTGCGAGAAAAGCTGTGACCTACTTGGCACCGCCCCAACACCTACGGCCAAGGGAGCGTGGTGCGGACGGAGGGACAGCGTTACACAGGTCAATCAAAAAGCTGCTTCACATCTAAAATCACAAATGGCAACGTGTACGAGTCACCTCCAACCCCCCCCCCCTTTTTTTTCTCAAGCGAACAGCATTTTGGCTAGAACAATGAATAACGGATAGATTGACGAATCACACTTTCTTGGGACGTCACGGAATCGCGATTGACGGTGCCCACATCAATGTACCCACCCGCATGTTCACCTGCCTAATCGTTCGTAAACAGCTGCAAATTAGGTGTAATATTTAGTCGATTCTAACGAAAGTATGGGTGGTTTTTAACGATAGTAAATTATATCGGTTCTCCCTGATGCACAAATGAGGGTGTAAA